AGACCGTTGGAGGACACCCATTCCAAGTTACGGATGGAGTCTTCCAGATTCTTCAGTTCCGCTTTCAGTTGGTTCTGGTCGAGTTAGTGGAGTGTTCGCTCCTTTTCGAGCTCGATCATTTGCTTTTTCATTGCCTTCTATCCCTTGGTGAGCAGGCACCCAGAGTAGGAGGACTTTATTTTCTTTGCCTAATTTGTTGAGCTTCTCTAGGCATTCTTTGACCAACTTCGAATTGATGGTTACTGAGTTGATCGCGTTAAGTGCTGCTTGACTATCGGATAGGATGGCAATTTCCTGTTTTCTCAAAGTTGTAAATTCTTGGTATGTCATCCACTGGGAGTTGGAGAAGTGGAATTTTCTTTTTGAGGGTGTTCCAAGCCCCTGACCTGAAAATTCTCCCAGTACTGTTTCCGTCAGTAACCATTCTAATCATTGTCGCATTGGCATAACTACCGACGACAATGTGCAGTGGTGTTAGGTCTAGAATGACCTCCATTGCTGCTGTTGGACATGTTCTCATGGCACCTGTGATGCAGATACATGCCAGTCTCTGTACTTTGCACAGGTTTTGCCTTGCTGTACGTTGCTCCAGTTTTGTATACCAAGCAACACTGCTCCATAAGTAATCATGGGAAGACACAGGTAATACATGTCATCTACAAAATCAAATCCCTCAAGTGGCAATGGGCAGAACACCTGGCAAGAAAGACGGACAACAGATGGACTACAAAAATTACAGCATGGTATCCACGAGGAACTAAGAGACCTAGAAGAAGACCACACCTTTGATGGGACCATGGTATTAGGAAATTAGCAGGGATTACTTGGGCCCGCATAGTCAACAATGCCCTGCTAGAAAGAGAGTATCTAAATATGTGAGGGAGGCTACACCATAATTGGAAATGGTTGAATAAGTTGAAAATGATGATGATGGTGATAATAGTATCCATATTACTTTTTTAATATTAAGGTACTTACCTTTATGTGATAAACCTTTGATATTTTTCATAAATTTAAAGAAATAACAAAATTGTTTTCTATTTTAAGTTCCATTTTCCTTTAACAAACTTTAAGTTTCGTTTTTTTTTAATTTAAGAAATTACCTAATCTATTTTATTGCTGTCCTATTATACCATTTGTTTTTAATATTATACTTTACTAATGATAATTTATTTTTCTTTTTTCTACCATTCCTATAAAAACATTTTTTCAACTATTGATGTTTTTTTTGCATTTTTGATACAATATTTCGTCTGAATTTTCATCGATTCTAGTGGAGGATTTGGAGAGCATTCTTTGAGAATGATCTGTGTAGATACTTACCTCTTCATAATAATCATAATACTTTCTTAAATTAATGTATTAACACACAATTTTAATCTAATTTTACTACTTGCCCTTACAAAATCCGCGAAAAAAAATTCTTTCCTTTCTTTTACTATGTTCCCATTCAGCAATTTAATTTGGGTACATTCATATCCATATTATTTTTTTCTATTTTAGGTACTTACTTTTATGTAAGGTCCTCCTTTGATATTCTGTCTAAACTTTAACTCCCATTTTATTTATGTTATTAAATTACTCCATTTTTGTCCTATTCTACCATTTGTTTCCAATAACATACTTTACCAATGTTTATTTATTTTCCTATTTACATACAGACGTAATTCATCCATTAATTCGATTTTTCTTTTGCATTTTTCACGTATACAATTTTTTTGTATTTCTTATATATCCTCCTACCAATTAGTAACAAGTATGCACACGTTCGTGAAATTTCCTTCTCACCATATCACCATGAAATAGGGTCCTTAGAACATTTACTTTTAACACAATAAACCTACTTATAGGCACAAACATGTTTTTTTATTATTTTTAGTTCGTGTAATAGTATTAATCTGAAAATTCAGGAACACCTAGAAGTATTTTTATTTAGATTTTACCACCATTGTTTCTATTATATTTTTTAAATACACAAAGTATTGCCTTGGGTATCATTGAGATATATGCCTTCAAGATACTCCTTATAAACTTTGATGAATATGATGTTAACTTGGGGACAAATCCTATAGACTTTTTATATTGTAATTTAAATATTGCAGATCTTATGAACTGATGTTCTCTTCCATAATATATTCCATTTTCTATGAGACTTCCAATGGAACACCAAAATATTTTCATCTTTTTAAAACCAAATGTTGATTAAATATACAGATTTTACTTGAAGATTTTGTTTATAGAAAGTGCTTAGAGCTTCTTTAATTAATTTAATCTTTTATGGAGAACATTTTATTTAATTTAAACAACATAAAAACTCAATTATGTTCTATTAAAAGAAACTCTAATACATTAAATCCTTGTGGTGATGATAACTTATGCCTTTGACCATACTGCGCCTATATATTTCCAACTTTTTTTTATACAGTTACATCCTACAGATATCAGATTTCCATTTTGTAATATATCTTTTAACTTCTGGCTGCAAATGCACATCAAGACATCCTAAGGTTCATGCTTTCTTTTTCAGTAATTTTCTCCTTTGTTTTGATATGATTTCAAAATAATTTTACAATAATTTGAAGCACAATGTATATTATGTATGATTTACAAAAGAATGACAGAAAAAAAATAGTTCATAACTATAGTCAAGACGATTTAACAAATAATTGATACTAATACAAAGAGAATTACATTTTAGTAAAACAAATTATTAAGAAAAGTTATCGACTAAATGTCAATCTAATTACTACTTACGTTTTTAACAAAATCATATGTAAGAATACCATAAATTTCCACTTTAGTACGGACTATCAATGTTCTAAGGTCTATCAGTCGACTAATCTAACAGCTCTATAAGATCACTAAAAAAATACAGCTCTTGAATTGATTTTGATATAGATGTTGTTGACCAAATGATCTCTCTGTATTCCTTTTGAACATATTTTCCATTCTTAAGGTGGACCTGGTTTCTTCTTTTAGTTATTAATTTTCTTGAAGTGGCACTTTGCCGAAATATGCCCTTTCTTCTTACAAGTGTAGCAGATCGGGGCGTGCCTGCATTCAACTGTGATGTGTCCAATTTTCTTGCAAGTGTGGCACCTAACCAACTTTTCCTTACGTTCGATTCTCGATTTCGGAGGGTGATAATCCAGTGAAGGTGGCTCGATGTGCAAAAACTCGTCCCCAGCATACGACTGTACCACTTCCCTCTGTTCGATATGAACTGGAATCTCGTTTTCGGGAAACTTGGCCAGATACTCCGAATACAAAGCTTCCGGCGATATAAAATTGAACGATTTTATATTTTGCTTCATGAAGGGATTGCTTAGACCGTCGATCAGGCAAGATACGGCGTTTTCGCCGCTGATCTTGCAAGCCTCGCACAAGTAAACCTTGCTGAAGTAGTACTGGGTGATTGTTTCTTCGGACGTCTTGTCCCGACCCACCAGCAGCCTTAGGGTACTGGCAAATTCAACATTGTCTGGGAATGTTTTCGTTATCAGAAGTTTCAATTCGGGCCAGGTGAAATCGTAGTTGCAAACCGTCTTGAACCAAGCCTTCATTATACCAGTCATTTTATCCCGGGTGAATTGGATTATGGTTTTTTCGTTGTATCCCCGCTTAAGACACTCCTCGTGCACCCTGTTCAGCCACATAGACGTCGTGAATTTGGTGTTACTCGGTATAAGTTCGGGAAAGTCCTTTGACGACCGGGAAGATTTATTCTCCCTCTTTGGAGACTTATTATTGGTTTCTACTAGTTTCTCAACCAGTTTTTCCAAACGTTTTATTCGTTCGTTAGCGGTTTCCATGTGTTCAGACTGTCGGACGTACGGTTCTATACGGGGTGGATGGGGGGCTTCAGGCTGTCTTTCTGTTCGTTCCTCGTGCTTGAACGAGTTGAAATTGATCGAGGAGGGATCTAGAATAATATCACCGCCGCCGGTGTCTCCAAACCCGATGTTTCTCGTAAGATCGATGAAATTTCCGTCGAAAGCTCGATTGTTCGAGTTGTTTTCGTTGGAAAAACGCTGCGGCTGTTTCTTTTTCTCCTTGTGCTCTTCGAATTTGTTCCCGAAAAAGTCGTGGTCGCGCTCCTTAGATCGGCGCCGCGGAGGAGATCTATCCCCTTTTCTACCATCTCTAGAAAACTGCCTGTCGATGTCCTCCTCTCGTACGCGTATAACCCTGTCCCGCGATCTGGAACGCATACGGTTGCGGGGATTCGGTTCCTCCCACAAATGTACGTTGGATTTCCTGCCCCTTTCCTCGAAATTTAACGGGGGGTTCCTAGATAAAGGACTTACTGAACGCGGGCGATTTTTTCGTGGCGGCGATCCTCGCCGGATGAACCTAGGAGGCGAGTTTCGTCTCATCATGCTGCCGTTCCAATGTTACAACGTCGAGTTTCTTAATTTTGGTCACTATTACAACTCCGGACGTTTTAAGCTTACACGAAAATTAGTAATAAACGATTAAAATCGATAAAAACTACCGACTATCTACCGACTCTATAAATCCAACTCGACACCATCAAAAAATTTGACAGAATGACAGAACTGACAATTATCAAGAGCTAGTTATTAAAAATAATTAATTTTGTGGCCTAAGCTGCCAGGACTATCCGGCGTGCTAATAAGATCAAAGATTATTCAACCTTTGTTGCTGGTACTGGGATAGAATCCGGAAGCCGTCTTTTGCGGGATTTAAATAATTATTGAAAAAGGGCTGTGTCAAGACTAATTTAGAAATTTTAATTCTATCTATGAAGATGCCCAAGGATAGGCGTGTTAAAAACTTATTAAAAATAAATTTCATGTAATAAATTATTAAGGAATAATCAGAGGGATTAATTTAGAAAATTCCCATCCCTGTATGTGACACAAAGTTTGTGATACGAATTTATCCATTATCATAGGCATATAAATAACTATTTATATATGATTCCATGTTACCATTATCTATGGACAATACGAAAATAATGACACATGATTGACACTGGACAGTGACATGGGCGATGTCATTGAGATAAAGAGAAGATATGAAAATATTTTTCCAAAACACTTTTTTAAAAGAGCTTGAAAATCTACAAAAATATACAGTATTAATTAATAATATGTAAAATATAAAACTGATGAGGTTTTGAATTCCTCCCTTGTCGCGCCTTCCTTAAAGACAACTGAAATCTTTTTTGTATTAAATAAATACATGAATTGCTTTATACCAAAACTACTGCAATGGCTCTGTTATTTCTCGGAGAAGATACCTGGTAATTGAACTAAAACCACATATTATCTTGACATTTTCTGTTTTTAAATACTTTAGGCTTTTGGAGCACGAATCGTGTGAAAAACTGCAGAGGGAGATTATGGAACAACTAACCGAACGACAACAATATCCACGAAACAGCGATAAATACGGACAAATCTCCGCCACTATTCGCTTTAGATTAAAGCAATTTAACAGCGAAGTACAGCAATTAAAGTCAAAATTAGATACATCAGTTTCATCAATGTATCCTTTTGATATGGCTGTGAATTCATTTATTTTTCTATGACAGTTTCTTAACAAATTTGTCAGAACTCCAGCAGAATCAGAAAGACGAAGCAGACAAATTGAGGTGTTACAAACAAAATCAGTCCATATGAAGAAGATCTTTGATGATCAGGTGTCGATGAAAGCTATGCAAGAAAGGAGAAATCTGTTGAGTGATACAGATTCGGAATGGGCTTCCGCTTCAGCAGGCACATCAGAGAATCTATCAGTCGATGAGTTAAAAGCTAGACAGCAACGGATGTTAGGAGGTCAGTTATGTAGGGTGATCCAGTGTATAGAAAAAGCTTCATCGGAGGTTTTCAATTTTTGTAATTTTATGTTTTTGTAATATTATGTTTTGAATATATTTTTCATATTAAATACAAATACAAATACTTTATTGCCGACAAAATGATCTTCCCGATCACAAAGCAACTTCACAGAACCACGGTCACGCTTGCGCTATTATACCACACTATTATACCAGCTAATTAAAATATGTTTTTAGATTAAAGATGTAGCTTTTTAAACGGATTATTGTTTTTTTTTGCTTAGTAGATTTGTCACGAAGTTACCATTCTAAAATTATATTGTCATATTACAGTTGAGGGTTGGAACCTTTGGTGTTAAAGGGTGTTACACAGCAAAATAAAACACTGAATCACCACAATACACCAAAACACTTAAAAGTGTTTTAGTGTATTGTGGTGATTTAGTGTTTTATTTTGCTATATTGTCATAGTTATACTATGTTAGTGATTTTTAAAATACTAGGTATAATATGATATGCTAATATTATACAAAAAAAATTATTGGACAAAAAATACTTCAAAAACTGAAAATCTGATATGAAGCTTTTTAAAAAAAAATGGTTACACCTATTTTTCTCTAAAAAATATTGTGGGATCAAAAAAATGGCCTCCCAGTGGCTTATAAAATGATTTATTAATTTTTTATGTGCCTACCCCTGTATGTCATTTTAATGAATAAAAATGCCTAAAATAAGCATTTAAATTAGAAAAAAATGTAAAAAATTTCTAGTAAAAAAAAATTTACTGAATATATTGCTCTTTTACCCAGACACCCTCAGGGGTAAAATGGGTGTTTTCGATTATATATATATATATATATATATATATATATATATATATATATATATTATATATATACAGTGTGACCCACTCAAGACCGGGCACCCTCCATAAAATCTGTGTTTATAGTCCGATTTTGATGATTTTTTTTTCAATGTCATGTTATTTCACAAAAAACAAGGCCTACTTAATAAAGTTTTTGTGGTGAAAAATTTGCAAAATCATATTAGCAATTTTTTTCAAAAAATTTGAGTACACCCCTACATTCGGCATCCCCAAAACAGTTCTGTACAAATTTCGTTTAAAAATATTAATTATTAATAATTCTGCAGTTAAATTAAATAATTCCCTATTTTTGCCAATTTAACGATGAGTTATCACGTAACCCTTGAAAAAAACAATCCACAACAATGGGTTTTATTAGCTGTCAATTCTTGCAGCGTAGAATTGAATATTAATTTAATAGCACGCAGAAAAGTGTTGTATCAAGAAATATTATTTGCATTATGGAACAATTAAATATTAGGGATAAAATTGAAATTATTCGTTTAGTGGGTGATAACTATCTTCAAGCAGGAGAAGCTGCCAGAGAATTTAACAACAGACATCCCGACAGACCTGCAGTAAGTAGAAGCACGGTTCAACGAATAAATAGAGTTTTTAATGAAACTGGTTGTGTGTCAAAATACTTACTAAAAAACAGAAGGCCGGAACATCGAATAAATAGGCGGAATGAGGAAATATTAGAATATTTTCGTAACAATCCTCGTGCAAGCATTAGAGGCGCCAGTGTTGATTTGGATATACCAAGGGAAAATATTAGGAGATGTTTGCGAACTAATAAAGTTAAACCCTTTAAACCAAAGATTTTACACACTTTGGAAAACGGAGATGATGTTAGACGATTAGAATTCTGCTTATGGGCTCAAGCAGAGTATTTAAATAATAGAAATTTCTTAAAAGAAATTTTATTTAGTGATGAGGCAACATTTAGTACAAACGGAGTAGTATCCTCTCAAAATTCGCGATTCTGGGCAGTCGAAAACCCTGAATGGGTGATCAATACAAGAAGACAGTATTCTCAGAAATTAAATGTGTGGTGTGGCATACTTGATGATAGAATCATTGGTCCATATTTTTTTGAGAGAAATTTGAATAGTCCAACGTTTTTGAATTTTCTGATTAATGACTTTTGGGATGCAATACATAATTTACCATGCCAAACCCGTTTGAATTTAAAATTTCAATTGGACGGATCACCTGTGCATAACGCGGCAGTTGTCAGGGAATGGTTAAATGAAAATTTTGAAAATAAGTGGATAGGTCGAAATAGCCCGCTAATTGAGTGGCCACCGAGATCCCCGGACCTAACACCCCTTGATTTCTTTCTTTGGGGTTTCTTAAAGCAACAAGTTTACAAGTCTAGACCTCAATCTGTAGATGAATTACGTATTAGAATTACAGAGGCTTCTGCAAATATTACACCACAGCAGCTTAGGAATGTAACTGTTAATCTAAGAAAAAGATGCGACAAATGTATTGAACTGAATGGAGGGCTGGTAGAAGCAACTAGAATTATTTGAATATGTTTAACTTATTATTCGGTTATTGTGTTGCTTGTAGTATTTTTATCATTGTTTGTAATAAAATTCGTTGTCGTGGATTGTTTTTTTCAAGGGTTACTTGATAACTCATCGTTAAATTGGCAAAAATAGGGAATTATTTAATTTAACTGCAGAATTATTAATAATTAATATTTTTAAACGAAATTTGGTACAGAACTGTTTTGGGGATGCCGAATGTAGGGGTGTACTCAAATTTTTGAAAAAAAATCGCTAATATGATTTTGCAAATTTTTCACCACAAAACTTTATTAAGTAGGCCTTGTTTTTGTGAAATAACATGACATTGAGCCCTAAAGTACATTTTTGAAACTTTATATTTGAAAAAAAATCATCAAAATCGGACTATAAACACAGATTTTATGGAGGGTGACCGGTCTTGAGTGGGTGACACTATATATATATATATATATATATATATATATATATATATATATATATATATATATATATATATATATATATATATATATATATATATATATTGCTCTTTAATGCTTGACATACTTTTCCTTTTTTTTTCATTTAACAAACAAATTTGGGAATTTTTTTAATAGATGAAGCAATTTCAAAGGTTACTGTGGCGTCATTTTTTTTTCTTGTTGCATATTTCTAGTTTTTATTATACCTTTATTGTCCATATTATAGAACAAGATACGGGCCTGGAGAATTTGTCGAAGATTATATCCAGACAAAAAGATATAGCAGCTGCTATATCAAACGAGGTGGATTTTCATAACGGTTAGATATTTTAGTGTTTAGTGAGTGTTTAGTCAAATTTTATCGATATATTTTTTAGAAATAATTGAGGATATCGGCACACAGATCGACCGAACCGATACCAGAGTTAGGACCGAAACTTCGCACGTTGGTCTGATAGATCGAAAGGATAACACTTGCGGATACTGGATCGTTATAATCATTCTTTTTATTAGTATAATAGTCGTTGTAAGTTTAAAGTAAAATTGTTATAGAAAAAGATATTTTTACAAATAAAACACATATTTTTAAATCTATGGCTCTGCCATTATATTTTTATTTTAAACGTTTACAAATAACAATAATTTGAAAGTATATAATACAATCTTATAAATACACATTTATTTTTTCTGTATAATGAGTGTTTCTTATAGGTCATCCGCATAAGGAACATCGGCCAAGTTGCCCACCGATGCGATTGAGATGTTTTTTCGGGCCTTTTGTAAAACCTGGAAAAAATTGTTATGTAATAAAATGTCTTCATATACAGGGTGTCCTAGGCAGAGCGTGCATTAGAAGTTTCCATAGAGCTACAATATATAGATTTGGGATTTTTTGCACACCATTGTTTCACAAAACAAGATCTATCAATTAAAAATATTTTCAATATGGCAGCACTTCCGGAAATACCGGAAGTTGATAGGAACTTTCTTATTTTAAATGGGCGCCCCAATTTTTTATTACATACTTAAATTCTCTGTTAAATTTTAGGAATTTTGGTCTAAACACGTTTTTTTTAATCGTTTTTGAGAAAAAAAAATATTTAAAATTTTTGGACGAAAAAAACTGCCTGTCAAAAATATTATGTGTATAGCCTAAACGTTAAATTTAGTGATTGCCACAGCCACTGTGCCATAAGAAAAGACATGTGGCTATCTATTTCAAAAATTAAATTGTTCGAATGTCATATAATAATGGCTGCAGCTGTCATGGAGCTTAGCGATTAAAAAATTATCATAAATCTTTTTTTTTTCAAGTGGAAACCTACTTTTTTATTTCACTAGTTAAAAGGCTTTCCAATTTGTCACTTTTTGTTACGTTTTTAAGTTATTTAAGGTTTAAGTTATTTTTAGTTTCAAGCCTCATATTTTTCTTTCTATTTTCAAATAAGTAAAAAATATCAAAGTTGTATTTTTTTAAATGGAACACTCTGTATATTATTACATTTTTAGTTTCTACGATTAAAATAAAGGTAAATTTGATTAAGGTTTATTATACTTAAACCTTACCGTTTTTGAAATATTTTCAAATTTGTGAAACTGCAGCAAAAAATTCAAGGCTTCATTTCTCCAAGGGTATCAAAGTTTTTAATACTAAATATTTACTGAAGTTTATTTACTGATCAGTTATTGTGTTGCAATAATAAAAATAATACTACCTTATGCAGAGTGTCTAAAAATTTATTTTAAATAATTATTACCTTCAAACGGCAATAACTTGTTTAATTTAAATGGAACACCCTGTATATTTTACGAGAATCAGATGCACAATTTAATTGTCTATCAAATTATATTATACCATTTTTTACCTATCTCTTTAAGTTTCCGTAGAAAATGCATTTTCTTCTAATTTATACCAAATTTATTAATATCAATATACCCACAGAATATTGACATTTTCGATATTTTTTTAGAGCAACAAATGTACAAAATGTACAGGTGCTAAAAGCGATATTACTGGCCCATTTGTTTACAAAAAGAAAACTTATTTAAATCTTTGTAAAAGAGTATACCATGCATGCATTTTCTTGTAATTTAGAACTTATTTATCAATATACCCATGGACTATTGACATTTTAGATTATTTTTAAAGATGTACTAAATTTTTAAAGAGTACAGATACTAATATTGTCGATATAATTCGTTTATTTCATTAAAAAATAAAAAAAACTGTTTAAATATTTGTTAAAGAGGATCAATTAATATGATTCCAGTATTCAAACTACATTAACTGACTGTTTGCGTTGATTAATAATAATTGCTCCAAATACTAAAAAACTGAATTTTGTATGGGCATTAGACAGTGTGATAAAAAGTAACACCTTAAAAATGATATTTCATTTTTTAATAAATGCTTATTTATAACAACAGAGACTTTAATTTGTTAACTTATTATTATATTGATTTCTGACTCAAATCCACATTTATTTATAATAATTTAATAACGAACACAATTAAGTATGTAATTAATTAGTATATGGGCGCAAATAATGGTGTTATATTTAATTAATGGTATACTCTTTTATAAAGATTTAAATAGTTTTCTTTTTGCATACAAATGGGCTAGTAATATTATCGTTTTGCTAAAAACGATAATATTACTAGTCTGTACATTTTGTACATTTGTTGCTTTAAAAACAATCTAAAATGTCAATATTCCATTGATATATTGATAAATGAGGTCTAAATTATAAGAAAATGCATTTTCTACGAAAACTTGAAGGGATAGGTAAAAAATGGTATAATACAATTTGATAGACAATTTAACTGTGCATCTGATTCTCCTAAAATATACAGGGCATTCCATTTAAATTAAAGAAGTTATTGCCGTTTGAAGCTAATAATTATTTAAAATAAATTTTTAGACGCTCTGTATAAGGTAGTATTATTTTATTATTGCAACACAATAACTGATCAATAAATAAACTTCATTAAATATTTAGTATTAAAACGTTATACCCTTGGAGAAATGAAGCTTTAAAAATTTTACTGCAATTTCACAAAATTGAAAATATTTCAAAAACGGTAAGGTTTAAGTATAATAAACCTTAATCAAATTTACCTTTATTTTAATCGTAGAAACTAAAAATGTAATAATATACAGGGTGTTCCATTTAAAAAAATACCACTTTGATATTTTTTATTTATTTCGGACACTCTGTATCTTGTAAAAATATTTTTAAATTGTAGCTCTAATAGTCCTTCAGCGAACCCCAAACTTACAATTTGTAAAAATCTCATCGTTTAGCTACAATACTCCGTGTCGTATGTGGTGAACAACCCTGTATATGACTTTAAACGTCAAGTGATTAAAACAATAGATCTGGCTATGTCATATTGTGACACTTTGTTCAAAAAGCAGTATGTGTATCCAATCATCATTTCCAAGCCAACTTTGCGCTTTTTTTTTCGATCATACGGAATATTATTAATAATATGAACTATTAGATATCAATAATGAGCGAAAATACGAGATATATTTTTATAAATACACTTCTTAAACTCTTAAGCAGGCAGTATTTATAATATAGGAAGTTCAAGTAATTCGTTTTCTGACAGATGGAAATACATTATCTGACTGACACTTAATGTCAAAAGAAGCTAGATAAAATCAAGAAAAATATACGTTTTCAAACTAATTCTTAAATAACTTAAAAACGATTTATTTTAGGTATAGGAATACTTATGTTTAGTTAAAACGTAACGAATTGGAAAACCTTTTCACTAGTGAAATAAAAAAAGTGGGTTTCCATTTGAAAAAAAAATGATTTATGATAATTTTTTAATCGCTCAATTCCATGACAGCTACCGCCATTATTATATGACATTTGATTTGATAGCTAGATTTTTGTTTTCCATTTATGTCACAGTGGTAATCACTAAATTTGATTTTTAAGCTATATAAATTTTTTTCGTCCAAAAATATTAAGTTTTTTTTTTCTTAAAAACGGTTAATGTTAGGTATAGAGTGTTTAACATCAATATTCATAGAATTTTAAAGAGAATTTAATTAATTATTCAACTACCGGTGTTTTCGGAAATGCCGCCATATTTAAAATATTTTTAATCAATATCATCTCGTTGTAAAGCAATGATGTGCAAAAAATCTCCCATCTAGATATCGTGGTTCTCTAGAAACTTTTAATGCACGCTCAACCTGGGACACCCTGTACATAGGAGGTTTCTTAATGACACGTTAATATTTACAGGGGTGATTCTTGAACTTATTTAAAGAAAAAAAAACTTCATATAAATGTATATCCTAAACATTCTAATTCTTGAGATACAGAGCGGTTAATATTTCTTGTGAAGTTTTTTTCTTAGAATAGATCCAAGAATCGCCCCCTTAAGTATGACCATGTCGTTAAAGGAACATTGTGCACATATACAGAGTATTCTTTAATTCAATTGCTACTTACGCTGTTCACATCACTGGCCGATACTGAATCGACTACAGAGGCGACTTCCTCTGCGGACAAAGCGGTGCCGGTTAGAGCGGCTTGCGCGCCGTATACTTGAGCCGCTGTCGATCCGCTTTCCAGTTCCGACAGCAAACTGGTTTTCAGCAAGTTTTTACCTGTACAAAAAAAAGATAAACTGTTAAGAATATACAACATAATTTTTTTTTTCGAAGAAAAGGTGGCCTTAGAAAAGACGATCGTTAATCATTTCTGTCGAGTCTCTTTCTGTATACGTTATATTTGCTATAAATGGGACTTAAAAAAATTTGAAAATTAATACTTAAATCAATTAAGGGCGTTTACGAGTCTCTCTCCGTGTTTTTTCCGTTTTAGCGTAAAATACACGTAAAAAAGACCACTAAAGGTCGCTTCTCACTATACCTTCCGTTTCCATTCCATATCCGTTCCGTATTTTTTACTGTATTGACGCTATACGTAAGCTTCCGTTACGAAAGTTTTATTTTAAAAATTTGTACATTTTGAAAAAGGTAATAGATTTAATTGAGAGGCGAAAGAATAAATAAATAATATCAGCAAAATGTTAACAGAGCCGGTACAAATGTAAGAATTTGACTATGCTGTTTCCGATACGCTTACGTTATCGATTAAGAAAATGTCATAAAAAAATAAACGTGACCTTTCACAGCCATGTATTTATTCGGTAAATAATATCTAATTTCTTGGAAATAGTTTTTTTCGTTTTTTTTTCTAATAAAATATTATTTTTTAACAGCTCTCTAATGTCCCAATCTTTAATATAATTCCACTATAGAACATATTTTTAATCTACGATATTGGTCCTATATTTTTTCTTACCGAATTTCACTTCAAAGACTACCGCGACACCATTTTTTTCCTTCGATTATACCGTACTCACCTCTGTTAACGTCCGCATCGGTGACGCTGGCACTTTTGAAAGCATTCACTGCTCCCGGTACAATTTTCTTGGCCGACTTGGCGGGCACGGCCAGCAAAATTCCGACCAATCCCGTGTCTTTGTAGCTTGCATTGATGCCCCTAACTGAATAGCCGTCGGTGCCACCTAGGGCCCTGGGAATGACTCCGTTGTCGTTGGTGCTCCATTTCAACTAAAAACCGTAGTTTTAAATTTTTATTAATAAACAAAAACGCTATAGAAATATACCTGGGGTCCGGCACTGAGGACGTTCTGTAGGACGGCGGCCGCTAGGGCTTCTTTGGGGTTGTTCACCGCGGCCCCCTCGCCAGCGATCGCCACAAAAGCGAAATCGCCCCCTTTGTCCGACCTAGAAAACGGAATTACGTACTTAATTCTGGTTATACAGGGTAAGTCAACGATAGAGTAAAGTCATTATCTCATTTGTTTCGAGTTTTACAAAAAATGTTAAATAGAAAAATTATAGGGGAGGTTAAGATACACATTTTAAAATTATTATAGAGTATACAAGGTGCTTCAAAAAAGTGTGGCGGATACAACATATGTTTTTTTTAAATGCCACCAACACCCTATTTTTTATTTTATTTTTAGATTCTGCGTAAAATTCCATAACTTTTTTATATATAACGTTATTTAAATTTGTTTAAACAAGTTAAATGCTACAGGGCGTTCAAAATATATTTGTGAATTTCAACTACTTAAAATTAAAATCTTAAAATTTTTAAATGGTACACCCTATATATTATTATTTTTTGTGATATATTTTAGGAAACTCTTCAACTTTTATGAAGTCATATACCTATTATTTTTAATAGTTCGCGATTTATTCCAATTTTTTCTATTTCTGTCCATATTTATAAATAATTACGCTATAACATCATAGTTGCCATGACAAAAAGTAATAATTATCAAAATTTCATGTCTGTTAAGCAAGTTAAAAACAACTTGAATTTTAGTTTAATTTGTTAATAATATACCGTATGATCGAATAAAAACGGCATCAGCGATGGCTATGAAATGAAGATCGCTGTCATTTTATATGTTTATATGGGAAATGTCATCGATTGTCATTTCATAGCCATCGCTGACGCCGTTTTTATTCGATCATATGGTATAATAATACAAAAATGGTAGAGATAATAGTTACAGATTTTCAGTTTTGGGGGAGCACCTTGGAGTTTCTGAAGCACCTTGTATGCTCTATAATAATTTGAAATGTGTATATTTTCTTAATTATAGTAAACCTAATATGGAGCTTTTTTGAAAGTCTGTATAAATTACATAATTATAACCTTACCTAATTTCTCCGCCCTTGTAAGGACTGGGATTGGAGACACCTTCGTTGGGCTCCAAGTTCAAAGACTGAGCGAACTGCGTCAGACTGGAACTATCTATTCCAAAACCAACTACAGCCGCTCTGCTTGAAGTGAAGGTATTGGCAACGTAGTGTTGCAATGTTTCGCAGGAAAGTTTACCTATTTGAAATTTGGGAACAAACTGGGAATTGCCCAACCCTGTTCTGTAGGCAGCTTTGTGAAGTAAGTCAAGTGCACGTAACTATAATTGAAAAAAAATATACCTATATTCAATAATAATACTAATAAAGTTATACTTTATGTATATATATATACAAAACCGCTTGACTTAGAAGCACAAAATTTTGCACAAAGTAGTGTATTATTATTATTCAAAAAAAGATACCTGCAATGGTCGAACTGCCAAGTCAATCTTTAACCGATCTCCAAGTTCGGATAGTTCCCAGGGTTTGAATACTTGCTCAGTAGCCACTTCTTTCAAGAAAGGTAAAACTTGCTCTACAGCTTTTCTGGTGCCTTCCAAAGTATAAGAGATAGTTTCACGGTCTGCTGTAGCAGTTAGGCTAGCCCCAACTTGCTGTATGTTACGGATAATAGCAAACTGGGATGCGTTTTTTGTGGATAATCCAGCGGCGGTACGGATAACGTGTACAGCACCGAGATTATCGCTGGTTTCGTAACGCGATCCAGCTCTGAGAGTTTAAAACAAAACTTTTATGTAAGATCTTAATAAGAGATAGTTTAAAGAAGTAAATACCTGAACGTGACGGAAATTCTGGTCAAAGCGGATTCATTTTCTGCTGCTACAACTACCAGTTTGTTAGTGAGAGTAGTGGTTTTCAAATCGTAATTGGCGATACCATTAACTGGAGCCACTTGAGAATATCCTCTGGCCTGTATATGAAGAAAAATAAGTATCGGAATTACATAAAACGATTGTGGAAACATGCAGTTCTAAAACCTACCGTTACTATACGGAGTAAAGGTCCTTTGGTGATCGAAGAAGCCATTCTTACAGTATTAGATAAAGTTATTATATAATTGAAGAAAAATTCGGCTTCTCTTTAAAGTCCAGCAGCTGACATCGATTGAACTGACAAGTGACAGTTTTCTGACAAGCAAAAAGTATATGATATCTGATATCTTGGATCATATATTCAAAGATGGGCTTCTAAATACTAAAGCGTTTATATGATACGTAAAAAACATGTTGTAAAGGCCCGTGCAGAATAATACTCATCCCTGATTAAAATACAATCTTCTTTACAAATTTTCTAAATTTTTTTAGAGAAACTTTTCTTTTTTGTTATGAGAAAAATACATAAAACCTTAAATTAAAATATGATTAAGCCAGTCTGTAAGGAATCACGCCTTTTAGATGTCTATAGTATCCTAATTTTTAATTTGCGTGCAATCTTGTAATTTTAGGAATTCAAGCAATATTCAGAGCAATATTTTACTAAAATCTATAGGGTTAATCATTTATACAATACCATCCTTGTAAAAGAATACAGTGTCTTTATTTTCGATTGTACATTATATGCATTCTGATTTAAAATGTAAATTTCAAGTGAAAAAATAATTCAAAACATAATTTCCAAGAAATTTATTTATCCTTATCATTAAATTTACAGTATAAAAATAATTGTACTCATAAACTTAGACTAATAAGCGTTCAATTTCCAACTGTATTGTTTGGATTTGGGATTTCAGCTGCGAGCCCTCGTTAATAGTCACACTGCTGGCTATTACCGATCTGGACACTCCGCAGGCTCTTCCCAGAGCCTGTTTGGATCGCACGAACACGTAAGGCACATTTTTATCTTCGCACAACAACGGCAAGTGCATAAGAATTTCGATAGGCTCCGCATCGGCTGCCATAACTATAAATTCAGCAGTGCCTCTGTTAAGCGTCTTGGTCACTTCGTTCGCCCCTTTGCGAAGCTGCTTGTAATTCAGTGCCTGCTGAACCAGATTCAAAATCTTCGTTGTTAGAGTTGGGTCGGCCAGAGGGTATGCTTTTGGATTCACTTCTTCCGCCTTTAATAAAGATTATCAGTTAAAAAAGTTTTAGATATGTTGTGTATTATTCTTACCATGTTTTCCAAGATTATTTATCGAGTAGGAGTGTGATAAATGCAACCTCTCGGCGATTCTTCGCTTCACGGAGGAGCAAATTCGAAGGAAATTTGCGTACCGCGTGTGGAAACAACAAAACGATATTTAAAAAAGTGAGGTTACGTTGTATAAATTTTTATTTCTTCTTCATTCTTGATTAGTTTGCGGTCTCAGTTGCCAGGACTATCCGACTGGCTGATAGTTTCCTATCCAATTCTTTTTTCAGTAAAAGACAAGAGAAGCTTGTTTAAGCGTCTGATTCGGGGCCATTTTAGTTGAATATTAATAAACTGTGTGTATTAATAAATATAACGTGTCAAAAAAAAAATGCTGGCAGAATGTCGTAAAGGCAAGCGGCCATATCTCAGAAGAAGAAGAAGAAGATTGTTTTAAATGTTTTACTGGTTGCCCATATTTTTCTAAACTTTATGCAAACCTTAAAAATAATTGTTTTCTTGGCTTCATAAAACATGTAATTTAAAGGAAAATAGTTTACCACCGATATTAGAAAACATACATGCGGATATTTGTTTTAAAATAATTTTTTAAACCGTTTTTTAAAAATAAAAATAATGGCCACCTGCATTATTTTGACAGTTCTCAAATGTTTTTAAAAATGGATGTTCTTATTTTTTGAATTTCATATAAAAAAGACATTGTAAATATGTTGTTATTATTTTAAAACAATTATTCATACAGACAAGAACATATTTTTTGTGTTGGGAGTGATTAAAAAAATATTTCTTTGGGCCTAAAAATGGCAGAGAAAAATCCGAACCAACTGGATATAAATGGTCCTAATTTTAATCCAAACATGTATCTAGACAAAATATTCAAGGAATGTACGTTAAGACAAATAATGGATCACGAAAACGAGATCGTCAAAGATACACAAACGCTGCATTCCGATATGCAAACCTTAGTATACGAAAACTATAACAAATTTATATCGGCCACAGACACAATAAGAAAAATGAAAAACGACTTCAAAAAAATGGAAGATGAAATGGACCTGCTCGCGTCAAACATGGAATCGATCACTTCATTTTCGGATAAAATCAACAGTAATTTGCAAGAATCTAGAGACAAGATAAGTCATTTGTCCGGTGTTCATAATTTACTACAAAGATTACAGTTTTTGTTTAAGCTTCCTGCTACACTAAAAGGGAGAATGGAGGAAAAGAACTATATTCAAGCAACACAAGACTATCTCCATGCACAAAGAGTCCTACAACAATACGGAGACCTACCAGCCTTTCAAGGAATAAAAAGCGATTGTGTGTCAATTTTAGAGGAACTGAAAGATGAACTAAGGAAGCAATTCAGTAACCCAAGCGCTTCAACCAGAGAATTGATGGAATCAGTTGATTTACTACTTCAATTAGAAGAGCCAGCTAAAGAATTATGTTTAGAATTTTTGTCTTCGGCTGAGAAACGACTCAGTGAACAACTAGTCATATTAAAGGATCAAAGTGAACAGAGAGACATTGTTGAATTTGTTGATTTAGGATGTTCTGGGTTCCTCAGTGATTTGTGTTTGATTATTGCCTCATTCAATGATATGTTTATAAGTAGAATAAATACAGATAACATAGAAAATAGTGAGATTTTTGAAAATTTTGCTGCAGTAGAGCTAGAAAACTTTGTAAAAGATAACATGCAGAAATATTTTGATTTAGTACAAGGCAAGGTGGATTTAGAACAAGATATTGCAGACACCAATACACTGGTACAAGCTTTAGATCGTTTCTATATGAGAATTGAAGGAAACAAATTCTCAAAGGATATTAATTTCACTGTGATGGCCACCGACATCATTAACAATGCTGGCAGAAAACAGTGTAAAGCACATTTATCCATCTTGAAACAGGCCTTTGCCGATACTTTAACCAAGGTAAGACAAGCCTTGACTACACCCAAATTAATTAGTCAAGATGACTCGTCTAAAAATCTCACTGAACTTCTAAATTCCATGATTGTAACAGTGGTAGAGAAAACAAAGGGTGTATTACAAGATCTTGTTGCTTTTGTAAGTCCAGAGATATGTTTTGCTAAAAAGACTCAGTTCAAGGAAAGTTTTTGCATTGATAATGTTCGAGAAGGTCTAGTGGTATGTTTCCTGCACCATCTTACAGCATCTATTCAGAATATCTGTTCTGACGGGGTCCTGGATTTAAAAGCACCCCCTACACTTATTCTGCTCCTATCAAAATTTTGTTTGGACTTCCGTAATGCCAGTGTGCACTTTCTTCTTTCAGAAACCGATGAAGTGTTTCATATTAACCATAAAAGAAATGGCAATGCCTTGACTAATGAGTCAGAAATCAGTAATACCATGCAAGAAACTGCACAGTATTTATTAAATTACTACGTTAGACTCCAGGGGTACAATTGTTCACAGATGTTGAGAAAAAGTGTGGAGACTAGAGACTGGTTGCATACCATCGAGCCTAGGACTGTTAGGGCTGTTATGAAGCGAGTGGTTGAAGATATTTCAGCTATAGATGCTACAGTTGCGCTGCTCTACGAGGATCAAGGCACTGCAACAGGAAATAGCAGCGATTCAAGTAGAAAAACTCACAGTATTTCTGTGTCCAGGCACCAGTATCGTTCAAATTGGTCCAGTTATACACCAAGCCACTTAGATTCGACTCTAGTTTCAAACATGCACAAGCTATTCAGCGAGAGAATTGAAGTGTTTTCACCAGTTGAATTCTCAAAAGTATCAATACTAACTGGCATAATAAAAATAAGTTTAAAGACTTTTATAGAGTGTGTTAGGTTGAAGACGTTTAGTAAATATGGACTGCAGCAAATTCAAGTCGATACGCATTATTTACAGTTGTATTTGTGGCGGTTTGTTGCAGATGAAAATCTGGTACACTTTTTGCTGGATGAAATGTTGGGTTCTGCCGTGCATCGATGTCTGGAGCCTGTTTTGATGGAACCTAGTGTTGTAGATATAATCTGTGAGAGAGGCTGAAAAACTATTGTTACATGTATGTTTGTTATTATTAAATGTTTTTTAATTGTTAAGTTCTGTTAAATGTTTATTTATTATAAATGCTTTATTTTATGTAGAATCTTGTATACTAGATATAGGTCTTTGTATAAGTCAACCTACTGTATTAGTTATTTGTACTGGATGTTAATATAAAATTATAGAGCAACTTCTTTCAATTTTTAAATTGTTTAAACAAAATTGTTCTTTTGTCTGTCAAAAAACGTAAATAAAGAAAACCACAGATCAACCGCTAGATTACATACCAAAGATTACTTGACTAACAATCAGGGTTGGTAAGTAAAAAACCATTGAAAAAAACGTTGTTTATACCTGTAGGAAAGTTATTTTACAATGAAGTAAAGAAACGTGTGCTTTTCATAAATAAATCAAAAAAACAGCTCACTGGTTTTGTACTAACCTTGATGTTTTGGTTTTGTGTCAACCCTGTTTATATATGATTGGAGTAGTCTACAGTGTCTTCTTAATTTGTAATCTGTGGTATTAAAGATAAACAATATTCTGTGTACGTGTTAATTTGACAGAAGTTTGTTGACATTTGATATTTGTGGATAAAGTGGCGAAAAATTAAATAAAATTTCCTTTTAAAATAATATAATGATCTATAAAAACTCGTATAGAAGATAGTAATTTCATACCACTTTTTATAATCATGGTTTTATCCAGCTTTATTGTGATATCTCTTTTGGTGTTTATCCTCTCTACTAGCTTTGCCAGAATTCACAAACTTGAAATATCGGTAAATTACGTTTTGGTAATGTTTACAAGGACTTTACACTTTTGTTATCTTTCCAGAACGATGCACGAAGATACATCGATCTCAGTACTTTCGGCTTTTACCAAGGAGGTACCCTAGAAGTTACGCTTACAAACTTTTATGCCATACCAGACAATGACTCATCTTTGGTAAAGTTTTCTGGTTTATATACATTCTCTCCATGATCTTAATTGTGTTTTAGTTTGGATTTATCTTATACCGCACAGTTAACGACAAAACAAACCCTTACATGAACGCCCATCAAGATTCCTGCATTCTACAGGAACGAATGACCAATGAGACAAACATTGTTTATTTTCTGATGGATCTCAAAAAAAGGCAGCTTAAAGTTGAATGTACTGATAAAACAATCTCCACAATTCGCGTATACAACAGTAAAACCGCTAAATCTACCACAGTAGCATCCTGCAAAGACTTTTATCTGGATATGAGTGCAGTTACAACGAACGATCACACCTATTATAATTCTTCAGTGAGTACACATTGTGAACCATTGTTAATTGACTTATTATTATTATTTTTTAGTTTGTTATTGAAGTGGAATCAATAATGGCAGAGGGATTATACAATTTGTTCTTTCACAGTTGTCCCAAGTCTGATTTAGAAACCTTGGTCAATTTCGAAATGGAAATAATCGAACGAAATACAGAAAATTATTTATCCGCTGGCGAAATACCTTTACCAGCCTTGTATTGCATGATGGCCATTCTATTCTTCCTTTCTGGTATGTTCTGGGTGTTCCTCCTCAAACAATCCAAGCATCCAGTGTTTAAAATCCACTACATGATGGCGGTTTTGGTATTTTTGAAAGCCCTATCCCTGGCTTTCCATGGAGTAAACTACCATTACATTGAGAGACTTGGATTTCATTTAACCACATGGGCTATACTGTTTTATATAGCGCATTTGCTTAAAGGAGCCCTGCTATTTGTGGTTTTGGTGCTGGTCGGTACAGGGTGGACTTTTATTAAACACGTTTTAACACCTAAGGACAAGAAGTTGTTTATGGTGGTGATTCCACTGCAAGTGTTGGCGAATATCGCGCAGATCATTTTGGAGGAGAGCGAGGAGGGGGATAGGGAGTATCTGACGTGGAGAAACGTGGTGATATTGGTGGATTTGTTGTGCTGCGGCTGTATACTGTTCCCGGTCGTGTGGTCCATAAGACACTTACAAGTAAGTCAACAATATAATACAATATAATTGTTTTAATAATACATTAATTTCTCCAAAAAAGCCCTATGGGTATTTCGCCACTGCAAGAGAATCTACGAAATAAAATAGTTATTTTTTGTAAACACTGCTGGCGTTAATGGAGGTTTCGGAAAGTATATGTCTTTCCGTCGTCGGAAGCAAAAAAAATGATTTTTTTTAATTTAAATTTTTTATTTTTAATTTTAATTTTTCTTTTATTTTTTTAATTTTTTTAAAATCTTTTCATTTTATTTTTATTTTTTTTATTCTTTTCTATTCTTTTTTCAATTTTTTTAATTTCTTTTGTCCTTCTTGCAGTGGTAGTATCTATAGTAGGATTTTTTTTCGAGAGATGAATTCGCCACATATGTGGGTATAGACATTTTTTTAATACATTAATTGATTGTTGTTGATTAATAATTGCTCCAAATACTAAAAAAAACCTGAATTTTGAATGTGTATTAGACAGTGCGGTAAAAACAACACCTTATAAATTTTACTTCATTTTTTGACTAATGCTTATTTAGTCTGTTACTATAATTTTTTTTGGTATTACACAGGTTGGCTCATTTTTATCTTGTCCCATATTAAGCAGGTTTTCTTTAACTTTTTTATTTTTTGAGCTTTTTAAAAATCAATAATTTATCAAAAACATTGAGAAATTTAGAATTTATAGTTTTTTTTTGTTTCAAGTTTTAAAGCGTGTTTTACCAAAAATGGCACACACTGTCAAATAAATAAAAATTGCATTTTTTAAATGGTACACCCTATAAAGGATTTCATTCACCTCATCGACACGGAGTATCGTTGGAGGACTAAGGCTACAATTTAAATTTATTTTCAGAAGGTACAGAGTGTCCCAAATCAAGAGAAAATATCAAAGTTGTATTTTTTTAAATGGAACACCCTGTATATTATTACATTTTTAGTTTCTACGATTAAAATAACGGTAAATTTCATTAAGGTTTACCGCACTATAATCTTATCGTTCTTTAAATATTTACGTTTTTGTGAAAATACAGTAGGTAACAATTTTAATGCTTCATTTCTCTGGGCGTATTTAAGTTTTTAAAACCAAATATTGTACTGAAGTTTTTCTATTCCCTAAATTTTGTGTTGCAATAATCAAAATAATACTATCGTATACAGGGTGTCTAAAAATTTATTTTAAATAATTGCTAACATTAAACGGCAATAACTTGTTTAATTTAAACGGAACACCCTGTATATTTTACGTGAATCAGATGCAAAATTTAATTGTCTATCAAATTGTATTACACCATTTTTTACCTATCTCTTCAAGTTTTCGTAGAAAACACTTTTTTATATAATTTAGACCTCATTTATCAATAGACCCAGGGAACATTAACATTTTAGATTATTTTTAAAGATGTAACAACTTTTCAAAGAGTACAGATACAAATATTGTCGATATAGTTCGCTTATTTCATTTAAAAATAAAAAAATATGTTTAAATATTTATAAAAGAGGACAAACTAATATGATCCCAGTATTCAAACTACATGCATTGATTGTTGTTGATTAATAATTGCTCCAAATACTAAAAATGAATTTTGTATATGTGTATTAGACGGTGTGGTATACATATGTACCTTATACATTTTATTTCAATTTTTGACAAATGCTGATTTATAACAACAGATACGTTCATTTTCATAACTTATTATTATATTGATTTCTGATTCAAATCCACATTTACTTGGGCCCGGTGGTCTGGGGGGGGCCCGTTAAAGGTTGTAAAATATTCATAATTTTTGAATTTTATCGGAAAAGAGGGCCCGAATTTTTGCTTGGGCCTTAGGGCCCGACCAGATGAAAAATAGACCCTGTAAGTAGGTATATTTAATTGGTATACTCTTTTACAAAGATTTAAATAAGTTTTCTTTTTGTAAACAAATGGGCCAGTAATATCGCTTTTAGCACCTGTACATTTTGTACATTTGTTGCTCTAAAAAAATATCGAAAATGTCAATATTCTGTGGGTATATTGATATTAATAAATTTGGTATAAATTAGAAGAAAATGCATTTTCTACGAAAACTTGAAGGGATAGGTAAAAAATGGTACAATACAATTTGATAGACAATTAAATTGTGCATCTGATTCACGTAAAATATACAGGGTGATCCATTTAAATTAAACAAGTTATTCCCGTTTAAAGCTAGTAATTATTTAAAATAAATTTTTAGACACGCTGTATAAGGTAGTATTATTTTGATTATTGCAACACGAAATTTAGCAAATAGAAAAAACTTCAGGACAGTATCTGGTTTTAAAAACTTAAATACGCCCAGAGAAACGAAGCAGCATTAAAACCGTTACTACATTTTCACAAAATCGTAAATGTTTCAAAAACGTGAAGTGCGGTAATCCTTAATCAAATTTACCTTTATTTTAATCGTAGAAACTAAAAATGTAATAATATACTGGGTGTTCCAATAACCCTGTATAATAAGTGACTTTTAAAAATTTAATCTCGACACTTAAATCACACTATTTTCAATTTTCTCTCTAGGAAGCTTCGGAAACCGACGGCAAAGCCGCCATAAATCTGCGAAAATTGAAACTGTTCCGGCACTTCTACATGATGGTGGTATGCTATATCTACTCCACCCGCATCATAGTGTACCTGTTGAAAGTGATCGTGCCTTTCCAGTACAGCTGGCTGCACGAAATGTTCAGGGAGATGGCCACGTACGTGTTCTTCGTGCTGACCGCCTACAAATTTAGGCCCGCGTCGCACAACCCTTATTTCGCCCTGTCCGACGATGAAGATGATGTCGACGAAGTGTAAGTTTTTCCACAATTTTTTTTCTACCATACGATCGCAAAAAAAAAAACGGCGTCAAAGACGGCTGGGGAATGAAGATCGATGATAATTTTGGCGAGGTCAAGCTCTATGACGTCTAGAGCTGACAGTTGTTATAGCTAGACAGTTGAAATTTTCACAGATAATGTATCTATGTTGCCGCTATAAGAACAAATACTAAAAACAGAATTAAATAAATGTTTATAAATAAAAAAGTACTTTCACTAAACATTATCTTTCAAGTAAGAATTTTACATAGAATCTTTCAAGTCCTCGGTGGCCGCGTGGTTAAAGCGTGAGGACTTTACGCTGCTATGACGTTTGAGCCGTAATAAGGCAGGTTCGAATCCTAGTCGAGGCCAAGGATACTATAGAGATAAGGATAGTTCGATTCCTATCTTCCTGCACTGTCAGTTTTTTTACGTCATCTACTGACCGAGTTGAAGTTGGCGCTAAAGATTTTAGACAGTGACAGTTATTTTTGCATTTGACGGACGAGCGCACAGTGCGTTGGAAGATAAATTTAGCGGGACAAAAGCGTTTGGTTAGAAATAAGCCAAAAAATGTGTACTGATAAGAATAAATAGTAGACATTCCAATTGATAAAAAATGCATGAATATTCTTTGTATTTCGATACATTTTTATCAACCAAATTTGGTCGTTTTCTGCTCAGCAAGGCAGAGATCATACGAAAACAAAATATTTACAAATGCTTATACATTTTATTAGAAAGCCAAATTATGTTGAAGATTGCCAAAGGTATGTACTTTTCTACTGTATGTATATTATTTGTTAAAATCCTTCGTGTCCTTGTTCTGCAGATATCAAACTTTCACTTTTTTTTCAAATATCGATATATTGAATGATGTAGATCTTTTGAGTTACCAATAGTTACCAACACAGGTAGTCATAGTCACAGGGAGTTCAAGCTTAACAGGTGAATGCCCAAAAAGATTCATTTCAATCGGATAGTATAAAAACAAAACAACTCCATCAAAAGGCACTGAGTTTAAAAAATTGTCTTAGATACTTACTATATGAATTTACAATTACCGAGTGTTAAAATTAAAATTAAAATATCTATCTTATTTATTATTTTCAAAATAAAATATATTTTTTTAAAATAAATTATAGAGGGTGTCACAAGATTACAAATTAATTAAAAAAAAACTGCTAAAGAGTTTTTTGATATCATAATTTTATGTATCTGGCAATAGTTTACAATACGGTTTTTGTGTGTCATGTACGAATAATATTATAGTTTTATCTTGTATTTATTTATTAATAAATTAAGTTGTTAATAAATAAATAAATTTAACCATATAGTTGCTATATATTAGACCATTTGCTACGTTCTTAGATTTTAAGTCCCAAACATTGCTTTTGAGATTTTGTCCCGCTAGAATAACCCTCCGCCGCACTGTGGAGCGCTGGTCAGCGCGTGACGTAGCATTCCAGGACGACTACGACAGCGGCGATTTGACGCTTCGTTTTTTTTTTAATTTTTACATATTTTTATATAGTTATTTTTACTTTTTACATATTTATTATTTATTAATACAATTTTTAGGAACGCGTTTCTTCGTTTTTTTATATTCTTATATTATACATTACTTATATTATACATTACTTATATTATATATTCACTATATATTTTTTTATAATGTCTAATGTTGTATAGATAATGAATGGTACGGAACCCTTTGTGCGCGAGTTCGACTTGCACTTGACCAATTTTTTATTTAATCTTTCTATAATTTGTGCTAATTTTTGACAAGTTTTATGTCAATTTTTCGTAAATTGCATCTAGAGATTGACCTCGCCAAAATTATCATCTATCGTCACTCCCCAGCCGTGTTTGACGTCGTTTTTTTCCCGATCATGTGATACATACAGTGTGTTGCATTGCTAACCTCAACATGGGAAATCCCATGTAAATTTTAAACATGATAAGTAAGTTTTCCCCATTTTATTTTATAAAAAAATAAGTAAAAATGATACTTTTTGTGCCGAGGCTGTACGTTTGACGACATAACAGGCAAAAGTAATTTTTGCTCCGAATAGAACATGCTATTTTTTTCAAACGTCACAAATAATTTTGTAAACAATTTTAAACGTTCCAAATAATATAAAAAGATTTAAAAATAATACCTTGTAATTATACCGGGTGTTCCTTAATGATTCTAATATTTAAGGGGGTGGTGATTCTTAGTCCTTTTCTAAGAGAAAAACTTCATATGCATGTATGTCCAAACATCTTAATTTCTGAGATACAGGGTGTTTTCTAAAAAAAAACTGTTTGCGTAATAACTCTGATTTTATCATAGATATCATAATGAAACTTGATACACGTCTTTTATGTATCAAAATACCTTTTTTGGTGGACAAAGAATTTTATTTAGTTCAACCAGTGCCGTTCATACGTGTTTTACACTGAATATTTTTGGAGAAAAAAGTGGTACACCAGTGACTTCTTTTAAAATAAAAATTATCAGATATTTTCAAAAAAAAACTAGAAAATTTTACCAAACCCTGTATCTGAAAAGTTAAGATGTTTAGGACATATATTCATATGAAGTTTTTTCTTAGAATAGGTTCAAGAATCACCTCCTTAAATATTAGCATGTCATTAAGGAACACCCCGTATATCGAGAAACTATGGTAACGCTCGATGAATTTGACACTTAATGTCACTGTAATAATACCGTATGATCAAATAAAAACGTCGTCAGCGATGGATATGAAATGAAGATCGCTGTCATTTTATATGAGAAATGTCATCGATTGTGATTTCATAATCATCGCTGACGCCGTTTTTATTCGATCATACGGTATATTTTCATACTTTTATGCTTAGGCGTTAAAATGACTTTTTTAAATTGTCAATCACGTCGTAAAAATTAATACTTTGTGACGTTTGAACGTTTGTTCTTCTACAGATGTCGCAAAATGATTTTCTCTAAGAAAAGTTACAAAAAGTACACTGTAAACATAATAGAATCTTAAAAAAATCAAATATATTTTGTAGATAAAGACACGGCTTTAAAAAAAATTATTTATTAAATACTAATATATTATTTATTAAATACTATTAAGTAATAATAGTTAATAATAACATTTATTAACATAAATATATATTTAGTTTGACAGAATCCGGAGCGACTGAAGGTTTAAAACGAGTGAATTCGCGTCACGTCAAGGTACCACTCCATCAGACCATCATGGAAGTAACGGAGGAGGAAAAAGATGCTTTATTAGGGCAGAGCGAAAGTAGTCACGAGTACGATTAGTAATACTTAAGCCCAACTAGTGTTACTCTATTTATTTGCTGTGATAGGTTTTCCAGGATTTCCTCGTTTTGAAGAAGAAACAAAAGTTGAAAGTTTAAAGTTATTATTTTAACGGAATATAAAAGAACACTTTGCACTAACATATGTCTATTCCAAAAGTTGTATGCATGTGTATGTAAAAAAATTAATACCTACCTATTTCGTATAATGTTAAGGCTGACTTTAATGAAAGTAAAAAGTTTTGAAGGATTATTGTTGTATTATTTATTTTATAAGAGGTCAGCAGGTATAAAATTGAAATAATCTAACTTGTAGCCTAAAAACTGACAATATTTGAGAATATAAACAGTAGAGGGGATATTTATGTCAATTTTTTATTAGTGTCTTAATGAATATTAATAATCTTTATTTGAATACCTGTTATTTTCTGATGAGTTAATGCCTTGTGTTTTTTTTAACAACTTAAATCACTGTTATTATTGATCAAACTTTTGGTTTTGCCCTACAGACAGTGGTTTTGCACCAGTCCTTCCAGCTCAATGATATCTTACAAACTAGGCAAGCATTTAATCACATTACTATGAATATCTGTATTGTTTTCAATTAATCATTCCACATAGATCTTGAATTAGGTAGTATATAATTCTGGTCGATTATCTTCAATCCAGAGACAAGTATCTGGTCATTTTTAGGCCTTCTGCAGGATATTCGTAACCCCCTCAGAAGTAGCACTTACTTCTTGTTTTGTTTTAATATTATTTGAAGCTGAACACTGAAAAGAAAATATATAGTTAAAATTTAGCGGTATTACCAATTTAGCTGTATTATAATGGGTATATTTTATTCGTTTTATTATTCTTGAATAATATTCGATTGCCCGCCAACTGTCAGTTATTAAAAGTTGAAATGTCAGTTGATTAATTTTCTAAAATATCCAAAAAATAATAAATCTAGTGTAAAATACGTTATTAACTGCATAAAATAATCGTATCCTTAATTTACCTTCTCTTTGAAGTATACGGAAGCAATAATTTAACTTTGTTTAGCAAATTAATCGAAAAAATCATTTGTGAAATCTAAGCAACCAGTAATACACCTTTGGAACAATCAATGCCTTAATATCTCACCGCTCAATCCCGACATAAAATAAGTACTTATATAAAAAACAAAAGACAATCATTTGGGATTCGCAGACGCGGCGTGCGATGTAGACTCTAATCCTAACTTTCTGGCGCTTGAGGAATGCGACGTTATGGGAACTGGCCAGCCCATAATTTAGCCCTCTTGAGTTGTTGTTAGAGAATTGTCTGCAGTCGTACGATGTCTGTCAAGGTAGTCTAATGATGACGAGGCGCCGGTCAATTCTACCACGAAATTCCGCATTCTCAGGTACCTTCGTTTACGGGGGGGATTGTTAAGATTCGTCTAGTCGGAGAGACGACGCTTGCAATTCACCCCGTAAATGCTAGGAGCTATAAACTTGGGAATGTTTTTTGCTACTTTTTTCAATAAATTTAATTTCCCTTACGACCCCCATACACTCGGTTTTAACAGTAAAGAGAATACTCAGAATTTCAGATAACTAAAAATTTAACTGAATATTATTATTGGCACTTAATATCATGGTATCTCAGAAAAATTCTCTTGCTGAAGTTTACCGATTGCAATTTGGACCACCCTGTATATAGTCAGGCTGGGAAAAAATAAAGCACACAAAATTTACAAGTATTTAATTTTATTACACACTTTTTGAATTACATTGAACAAAAAGGTGGACATTCTCCAAACTTCTTTTTTGTATGTGTGTGTGCGCTTTTGTATATAATGACGTCATTTTTCTTATTGTCCATTTGTATAAAAATCTAATCTATACAATGTTAATTTATGTCAAAAAGTTTGGTGCATAAGTGGCCCATATTCTTAAATTCTCTCTTTGTTATAAACAAAAACTGAAAGTAAATTTTGTTTATTCTAATTTTTTTGTTTGAATCTACAGGATGATCCGACCTGTATTCCGGAGACTTGGGCAGCATATTCTGCAGAAGAAAATAAGCAAAAAAGTTCGTATAAATGTATGTCCTAAAATGCTTAGTTTCGGAGATACAGGGTGTAGAAGTTTCATTTTTACTTCGATTTTTTCCTAATAATTTCTGAAGCATGATTTTTTACAGACACCAATTTTCATCCAAATATTCACGTTGCTTCAGAAATTATCTTGAAAAAATCGAAATAAAAACGAAACTTCTACACCCTGTATTTCCGAAACTAAGCATTGTAGGGCATGCATTTATACGAACTTTCTTACTTGTTTTTATCTGCAGAATATGCTGCCGCAGTTTCCGGAATACAGTTCGGACCACCCTGTATATTATTTTTCTTTATCTTAAGGACTGGTTATAAGTCCATTGTTAAATATGTGTGGTAAATATTATTAACTAAGTTTAATCTACTATGACACTCTAGGAACTTGATAATTCAAACAAATATATTTATATCTAGAAATATACAGGGTGTCCCACTTAAGATGGATACAAGCCAATATCTTGGTTGTTTGTTGAGCGATCTTTTTCATTTTTGGCAGGAGGCTGTATGGCTATAAGACGTACATTTTGGCCAGGGTAAGAAATGCGATACCTCATAGACGTACGTTTTAATGGGGTTTGATATTTTTCGAGTCAAGAGTAAACTACCCTTAGGACAGTATTTATTTCAAATCTGATAAATTATATTGAATCCTTCTTACCCAAGATACTTAAGTTCTATTTTTGATAAATATTGATACAGGGTGTGTTATTAAAATCAGACATTTTTATTTTTATTATTATTTTTTGAAGTACTTACAACGCCACTGGATAAACAACTGGTTTATTATCAGTAACCGATTATAACCAATTATCAATTAATAATCAATTTAAGTTTTCAGATTTCGAGTTGATTTGGTTCAGCTTCCATAATAATTAAGATACGATACAAAAAAACTAAATATTTTCAATTTATTTTGTTTACTTTAAAAAAATTGTTTTTTAAGTTTGCTAATACAAATGAATAAAATGAGTTACAAAATAATTTAAAAATCCAGTTCAGTGGAATCTGAAATATGATTTTTAATCCTTTTATTGAGGAATATTTTATAAAAATAAATAGTTAAATATTTAAAACAATCACTATTAACTTTGAAAAATATGCTCTAAACAAAGATTTATAAAACTATAACGAACTAAAAGTCAACATTTTCGACCAAACCACCATAATTGGATATAATTGGTTACTGATAATAAACCAGTTGTTTATCCAGTGGCGTCGTAAGTACTTAAAAAAAAACAATAAAAATAAAAATGTCTTATTTTAATGACACACCCTGTATCAATATTATAAAAATTAGAACTTAAGTATCTTAGGTAAGGAGGATTCAATATAATTTATCAGATTTGAAATAAAAACTGTCCTAAGGGTAGTTTACTCTTGACTCGAAAAATATCAAACGCCATTAAAACGTACGTCTATGAGGTATCGCATTTCTTACCCTGTATCCATCTTAAGTGGGACACCCTGTAGAATAAGTTATTAGATAGTGATAGTAACCATATCAAAAGTTTTGAAATTTTTTTACACATTGTTTCGTTCTTCCTAAAAAATACGATTTGGGTACAATTTCTGTTAATTGTTTCTTTAATCCTGTGCATTTTTTGATATACATTCTTAAAAATTACTTATACAAAAAACAGCTTAGTTCTATATGGATTATCATTATTGTAAAAAACTTTTGAGTTTTCTATATCTATATTGGTGTTTTACTTTCAGAGTGTATCACATCAAAATAAAAACACTAAATCACCACAATACACCAAAACACTTTTACTTTTACACTGGACGCGCGTTTCGCTAACCATGTTAGCATCATCAGCAGATGATTATAAACTAAAGTACAATCTACAAGTTGAGTGTTTATATACTCGCCCAGTGGGCACCGAGTGGGCGTGGCAAAATCTAGCCAACCGAGTCAAAACCCACTGAGCGTAACAGTTAGATTTCCGCCACTAGAGTAGTAGGAACAAAGAACTTGAAGGAATTGGACCGTTGTCTCTGTTCATACTATCTTTACATTTATTAATTCTGATGCTTTCATATGCATCTAATTGCCTGTAATTTGAAACTTGTTTAATTAATTTTAAATTATTAAGATCTATACAATGTTCTTTATCAACAATATGTTCGGCAACGCAAGATTTATCCGGTCTACCATATCTTATCTGAGCTAAATGTTCTTTAAATCTAGTTAATATTGATCTTCTAGTTTGCCCAACATATTTCGGATTACAATCTTTACAAGAAATTTCATAAATACCCGACCTTTCCAGTGGAGGTGTTTTATCCTTTGAATTACCTAATAATTGTTGTAATTTATTATTAGCACTATACAAAAATTAATAATTGACATTCTTAAAAATTCAATGGCAAATGGTCTCGACAACAAAACTGTGACTGAATATATTGAGCTTACATCGTTATGTATGAAACAAAATTGTTTTCAATTTAATAACAACTTTTTTGAACAGCGGGAAGGTACAGCGATGGGTAATCCATTGTCTCCATTTTTGGCTAATTTATTCATGAGCAGGTTTGAAGTGGAGGCTAAGAATCAGTTTGAGTATTTTCCAAGAGTATGGTTTAGGTATGTGGATGATATTTTTGCTGTTTTTGACACACATTCAGACACTATAGATAATTTTATTTCTAAGTTAAATAATCGTTTTCCTTCCATTAAATTTACGCATGAAATTGAGAACAACGACAGATTACCATTTCTAGATGTATTAGTTATTAGAAATACTAATAATTGCCTGGCATTTGATATCTATAGGAAAAATACGACCACACGCAGATATATTCCTAATGAATCACATCATAGTGTTGAACATAAAATGGCTAGTTTAAATTTCTTAGTTCATAGGTTACTTAGTTTCCCACTTTCCAACGAAAGATATGAAATAGAAAGAGATTACATTAGGAATGTAGCTGAGTGTAATGGATATTCTCCTTTACTAGTTGATAAATTAATTAGAAAACGTAGGTATAGGTTAATGATTTCTGAAAATTCGACTTTTCAAGTGGAGAAAGATACGTCTAAATATTTTTCGATACCGTTTGATAGAGAGTTATCCCGTGGTCTAAAAGGAATTTTTAAGAATGTCAATTATAAACTTGTGTATAGTGCTAATAATAAATTACAACAATTATTAGGTAATCCAAAAGATAAAACACCTCCACTGGAAAGGTCGGCTATTTATGAAATTTCTTGTAAAGATTGTAATCAGAAATATGTTGGGCAAACTAGAAGATCAATATTAACTAGATTTAAAGAACATTTAGCTCAGATAAGATGTGGTAGACCGGATAAATCTTGCGTTGCCGAACATATTGTTGATAAAGAACATTGTATAGATCTTAATAATTTAAAATTAATTAAACAAGTTTCAAATTACAGACAATTAGATGCATATGAAAGCATCAGAATTAATAAATGTAAAGATAGTATGAACAGAGACAACGGTCCATTTCCTTCAAGTTCTTTGTTCCTACTACTCTAGTGGCGGAAATCTAACTGTTACGCTCAGTGGGTTTTGACTCGGTTGGCTAGATTTTGCCACGCCCACTCGGTGCCCACTGGGCGAGTATATAAACGCTCAACTTGTAGATTGTACTTTAGTTTATAATCATCTGCTGATGATGCTAACATGGTTAGCGAAACGCGTGTCCAGTGTAAAAGTAAAAGTGTTTTGGTGTATTGTGGTGATAGAGTGTTTTTATTTTGCTGTGTAACACCAAAGGTTCCAACCCTCAACTGTATCACATAAAATAAGATGAAATTATTTTTTTAAGGCATCTGTTAAATTGTTCTTGTGATAGTGATACCTCACAAAGCCGGGCTCCACTGAAATTATTTATTGAGTGCTGCCACTAATTATATCAGGCTGATACTGTGCTACTTATAAGCAGGGTTGTTAAGTAGTTTATGAAGCAAAAACTACGCGTATTTTTTTGTATTAACTACATTTTAAAAACTACCTTCAAAAATTACACAAAAACTACGTTAAAAAGTACCTACAAAAATATAGTAAAACATAAACAATTTAGACTTTAAACAAAAATCAAGCCAAATTCTTATCATGGAAGTATGAAGTTATATTATATTTGTATAAGTTAAACAACATCAGAAAAAAAGACAATTTTTTTTTCAAAAAAACTGTATTTTCTATGAAATACAAAGTAACATTGAACACAAAATAAACTATAAATTCTTATGGAGAAATTCTCCATAGACATTCTCCAGGAGAATATATGATTTTTTACATCTAAAGGCACAACTTCATAATTCCCCTCTTCCCAGAAGGTATGGAGACATCGATGTCTTCCAACCATTTTTAACTACTAAGTATCAAAAATATCACATAATAAGGAACAAATTCACAAAATATAGATTTTTTATTTCTTTAAATTGATCAATAAACAAAGCTTTTAGGTTATGTTTTCACTGTTATTTAAAAAAACTACATTAGTTACATAAACTACACATTTAAAAAACTACTTGTGACATGTAGTAAATGTAGTTTATTAATTACTACGTGTAGTTTAACAACTCTGCTTATAAGTAGTCATGTTCTGAAAAGACTCTATAGAGTCAAAACTGGGTGAGGGTCCAGTCAAGTTCTTCAGTGAGTCATGTTCACTGTTTTGTTATACAACAAATTTGAAAAATATTCTTGAAAATAATGTTTATTTTAACAGAAGTCAGAGTAGTAGCCTTGTATATGAATTTTATATAAACAAGGGTAGTAGGTACCTTTTTTTCGAAATCCATATTTATCCATCCTTTATAAACTTAAGTAAGATTTTTGAATGAATTCTCATTATTGGCTCTTAAATTTTGTAATAAAATACAAAAATAACTGGCCTGTATACTGAGCCGACCATGAAAACTTAAATTCCATGAAAAAATTGGCGGTTTATCTGTTTAAACTATAATTTCAAAAGTTTATTATTGTTTACCGCTATTTTTAGGCCATACGTTTTTCTCCGTAGTCACTTTTTTTATGAAACTCGAATAAAAAATGTACAGGGTGGACCAAATTGGACACTTTTACAGGTAAATACCCTTTTCTATAGGAGATAGACGAAAACTGATATCGGTGTCTGGAGCCCAATTTTTATTAAAAACATGATAGTGAAAACCGCACATCGATATCTGTTACCGTTTCGGAGTTACGGGGTGTTTTTCAAAAATGTGCATTTTTAACAAATCGTTGTACCTTTTTTGCTATGGAAAAGTTTGTATTTTTATGAAAACATTTCCAAAGCACATTTTTACATAGATGGTTATTTTTTTTTTCATGATTTGTTTTTTAATGGTTTAAGTATAATATTTTTAAAATTAATAATTTAAGAGTTACCAACAGAAAATTTGATTTTTTATATGTGACACCCTGTATATTTTTAATTCATTGAAAAGAACTTAAAATTACCTCTCCAAAAATATAGCAAATTTGATATTTTGCTCGATTCCTCTTCGAGATTTATATACAGTGTGTCTCAGATTTTAATCGGGAAAATTTAATAGACGATAGAACTTGCAAAAATAAAACAAAAAGTTCATATAAACTTGTAAGATTTAAAGGTTCCTTTTCGAGATACAGGGTACCATTAGAATCCCAATTATAATATTAATTACCAATTAGAATTTAATTTTTTTCGCAAGAAGTAAGCAAGATAGACAAAAAAGTCAGGAGACAAAAAAATTATATTTTTAATTACTAAATCCAAAAATAATATTAAACTTCTAAAAAAGCAGTGGCGTGCCTATTTTTTCCTTTAAAATAATTTAACAGTGATGCCCCACCGCCGCCCCTGGCCATTAAACTTAAATCTAATTACATCAAATTAAGTCCCATAGTAAGTATTATAAACGGGTCAAGTTATATCAAAATCGATTAAATAGTTTTTCAAATATCTTAAATTTTTTTTCTTTTTTCAGTAACTTTAACACCCTGTATCTCGAAAAGGAAGCTTTAAATCTTACAAGTTGATATGAACTTTTTGTTTTATTTTTGCAAGTTCTATCGTCTATTAAATTTTCCCGATTAAAATCTGAGACACACTGTATACCGGGTGCGTCTCAAAAGTGGCTTACCCCTATAATTTTTTTATTTTCTTCAGATATAAAAATGAGATTTGGTATGTTAGTATGTGACATAAATTAGGATTGATTGACGTATTCAATTGTTTTTGGTCACTTCCTGTTTCATTGGAAATGACTACAACTTTTGATTTTTAAATGGCACCCTCGGTATATTTTTACTTTATTGGATAAAAAAATGACACTTTGAATAGAATGACATATATTACATGTTAACCTTGCGCCATGACTGTTTTAAAAACACTAATTTTTAATCAAGGAGCCTTGGAAAAATAGTTTTGATCGTTTAATATTTTTCATGTCTTAAAAAATGCCCAAATCGTATTTTTAATCATATTTTAATTTTTTCAAATGGAACAAGGGTGGCTCATTATAATTTGGTACCACACACTTGATATTTCGAGTCAAATTGTCGTTATGAACCGCATGTTACAATTTCAAATAAACCATATACGAAGTTGACATATGATATGTCATTCTATCCAGAATGTCATTTTCTAGCGAATAAAGTAAAAAAAAATACCGAGAGTGCGCCATTTAAAAATCAAAGGTTGTAGACATTTTCGGCGAAACAGGAAGCGACCAAAAACAATTGAATACGCCAATCAATCCTAATTCATGTCATATACTAACATACCAAACCTCGTTTTTTTATCTGAAAAAATAAAAAAGTTATAGGGGGTGAGCCACTTTTCAGACGCACCCAGTGTAAATAAAAGTTTCCAATTTGGATCACCCTGTACTATATGGATTGCTATACATATATTTCTGAGTACAAATACACAGTTTATGTACAAACAGGTATTTCTAACAGATTTTTTCATCTCTTAAGAACAAACACTAATCAAATAAAAGGTCCTATTAGTGCGACGTTTGTGTGGACATTATTCCTTTCATTACTATACATCTCGGGGCTCAGAACGATACTCTCCCAGTCTTGAATTTGACTCAGACCGGAGTGATTTCCGATCTAGACGGTTTATATCAGACGCTCTTCTGAGTGATTGTGGTGGTGGCGGTGGGCGGGGGACCTTTGGTCGTTCCCCTCACCGGAGTATTGTCCGAGAGGCTCAGAGTGCGCAGCAGTGTGTTTCTGAAATCCTCGGAAAAGAGACAGTAGATGTAGAAGGTTATGGAGTAGTTGGTCACTTCCAGAAGGTTGGCAATAGCCCTGAATACCTGAAATGAATATTAATGTATTATTTTGTAGTGTTTTATGCCTAAGTGTGTAATTCTCAATGTAAATTAAGAATATTATCAGTGTCGAATAGAAGTATCAAAAATATTTTACAGAGAAATGGATCTCTAGAGATTCCTAACTCAGTGACTTTTTATTGATATTGTTAGAAAAAATATGATATAGGCTTGGTGCATTGTCCGCCGGTGCTGCCACCATCGGAGAATATCGTAAACGACTAGTATATACAAATACACGGTTTTAAATAGCGAGTATACGAAAAATTTATTATATAATTATATATTTATACTTCCTAACACAAGTATAATTTGTGAAAATTCTAAAAATAAAAAAGTAAATATTTTGATATCTTCAAAAGGTCTAACTTGTATTATAATTTATTATTCCAACTAAAAAAGACTTTTTCGATTAGTTCAACTACGGTAGCGATCATAGTTTTAAGTACCGGTTTTGCTAGTGGGGTTATAATTGGGGCTATTTTGGCTATATCGAAATTTTTTAAAGGTACATAATTATAATTTTAGAAGATGTTCATAAAAAATTTAATCAATACTCGATTCAAAAAAGTATACCATTAATGTTGGAAATTATATTTTATCCTCTCATAGGATACCTATGTCTATTTAATTTTTTTATTGTATAACGAGGACTTTGTTTACCCACTTGTTTCGTCGAACTGCTTGAATCCATTTTTGCTTTTGATCAAATCGGTGTGAGAAACTATGAAGCTATAAAATGTTGTTTCGGGAGAGTTGAATATCCGGGAAAGTTGAGTTATTGAATGTTATTGCACCCAACAACGCCCTAATTACGCTCTCCTTTACGCGTTAACATTTTTTCGGCAATTTTATTAACATTTGAAATTGTCACAATACAACACGACGCACAGTGCTTCGTCCCATGGACAAAAATCGAAAAAAGAAGTTAAAATTTACTAATATCTGAATATGTAATTTTATACTTATAGCAATGTTCGACCATCCTGTATATTATTTTTCATAAACAGCGTTTTTTGTTAGCAAATATTTTCACTAACAATAAATTTTGCGATCATTATCTTATCAGTGAAAAGAATAACATTCATAGTAGTTCTGTATCTTATGGAGTTAAGCCATAGATTTAGGAAGATTTTATAATGTCTTTGAGTTAAGCGGTACGTACTTAATTGAAAGCCACTATGGATATTGTTAAACAAGGTATGTACTTTAAATTTATTTCTAAACAAGTTCGTGATTGTTTAGTTTTTATTTATTTTTTAAGATGATTCTTAAATGGGTATAAAAATTTTACGTTTTCAAACTTCAAAAAGGCATTAAAAAAAAACATATCAAAACATATCGTATTTATTGAATATTTTTGTTGCTATATTCATACACTTTTAATTTTTGTATAGTTCACCTGCGTCTGCTTGCGACGAAGTTTATTTTACAATACTTTTCAGATGGAGTAAAATTGATAAGCAATGCCGATCTGGTTAATACTTGGCTTGATCGTAGGGACAAGAACTCAAAATTATTTGTATTTAAAAAAATGTGTTCTTTATTAGATATTGATGAACCTTCCAGTCAAATGAGACACCACTTGTGCCTGAAAAAGCCCCCTATGTTGAATTCTTTTAGAATTTAGAATGAGTGGGAGGGGGGTTAATCACTTCGACCTTACAGATCCATTGTGTCCCCCTTTCTTGAATCATAACTCATCATACAGTCCCAGGGCTTTGACAAAAGCCAGTATCTGGGACGGTTTTATAGAGGGTAGTTCTCCATCTCCAATATCAGTCGTACCAAAATTCATGGCACGAATGGTTGTCGTCTCGGCGCACTCAGTGATGAGGTGTATTGGTGTTTCACCATCTTCCCCACAGAATCTGCATTCACCGTTTCTTCTTAGTTTCAATCTACTGAGGTGTTCATTGAGGAGACAGTGTCCTGTTAAACCCCCCCCCCCCTATGTTGAAGCGAAACGTCGCATAAAAAAGTTTCCATCTTCAATTTATTATAAAACCTCATACCCCAGAAAAGGAAAAAATATTATATGGATATGGTCTATTAAAGAGGTAACTATTAACATCCGAACCCCTCATACCAACAAAAAGAACAGTAACAACGCGAAAAAGTAACATATCAGAAAATGATGTACAGAAATATCTTACATGTGAGGATACTTCATCTACCTGTAATTTGGATACTATAAATTTGGAAGATTCTGTCAGAAGTGATTCTTCTGAATAGAGTAGTTACGAGCTATGCATTTTGTTATCCTAAAGTAAATTTATAGTACCTTAAGTTTTTTTTAAATTAAATATAGCATTAATGTTTCTTTTTCATTAAAGAAAAACATTTTTATCTTATATTAGGTTTATATTGTAGGAATCATGTTCTAATGTTATTCCAATTCTTTTTTATCACAGGAATTTATTTAATACTTACACCGTTTTCATACTATAAATTATTATTTCCTTAGATGAAACACAGCTCCAACATTTTTATTATTTATAAGATTCTTTTTCATAAACGTGGGACTAAGAACATCATCATTTAGTACAATGAGAGTACTCATCATTTGTGTCAAATAAACCTAGTTTGAATAAATTGCCTACAATAAAAGAGAAGTTTTGCATTTTTGTCCTCTAGAGCCATATGTTCGAAGCACTGTGCGACGCCTTGTTCAAATTCTTTTTCATTTATTTTTTACTACCCGAAACAGCGTTACATCAAACAAACTTCGTGTAGTTGAGTGTTTTATAGTTTCAATAACTGCACTAGCAAAAAACTAAATTACTAAAGCCACGATTTCAATATTATTTTAATGCGATCAACATGAAGTGTAACCAGGATGGCGCGGCGGCGGCGTGAAATACATACTGATAATTTCTGATTTCTGGCGTTGAAGCGCTGCGGTCGGAATTTGTTGAAATCCACTGAAATGCACCAAGCCTATTCACATTACTGAATATTTCGGTTTGTACCTGATAAGGATATTTCATGAGGTTACTGTCTGACAGGGTGACGTTAAGAATAACCATGGGAGTTACACAGACTAAAAATAAGATACTCGTCGAGCCTAAAAGTAGTACCAAACGTCGTTCTTCGGCAAATTTTCTTGGGTCCTCTTCACCAGATGTCGTTCTACTAAGAGTCATTTTTCGTCTCCTTTCACATGATCTTCTGTAATATAAAAATACAAATATTTTATTTAGTTATCAAAGAATATAAAACAGGGTGTAAAAGAATAGTGTACTAAACCTCAGTAAAAAAATTGGCACCGGGAGGCACGTATAGCCGCCCATACTAAAATATGTTAATAAAAAGTTGGTAGGCAGTTCTTTTAGCTTCAAAGTAAAGGAATTTTTCCAATTTTTTTTTATTTAAAAAAAACGACTTTGATTTTGATGCTATTACAAATTTTGTTGCAAATCTTATTCCTAATCTTAAATTGAAAACCGCGTTTCGCTAGCTACAGTAATTTTGGAGTTACGATTTTTTAAAATATTTAACCCCTTCCCATACCCCCTTACCAACCCCCCACCCCCACCAAAAACTAATGGCCAGATTCTCGGGTGCCACAGTATTTTTGTGCCAAATTTGGTTAAAATCAGTTTAGCGGTTTTTGAGTTATCGTGTCACAGACGGACAGACGGACAGACGGACAGACGGACAGACGGACAGACGGACAGACGGACAGACGGACAGACGGAGAGACGGACAGACGGACAGACGGACAGACGGACAGACGGACAGACGGACAGACGGACAGACGGACAGACGGACAGACGGACAGACGGACAGACGGACAGACAGACAGACAGACACCATGAAAATATTTTGTATTTAGGTCATTTAAAAACATTTTTTTTATTACCTATACACGATGAGTATCCTCAAATTCAGCGCCGCCAGCAAAATAACAGGTACTACTTTAAAAATCAACTCCAACACCACCTTGTACACACTATACGCCGGATGTGCCAGATATTCCGTGTTCTCAGTCCTCTGATAAATCACATTACCCTCAGGCAACAACCTGCACGTCTTCACATAACTCCTGAACATAGCAGGAATGTAGAAAATAAACGTCAGCACCGGAATGATGATGACAGCGCGTATGGGTGACCCTAGGATAGGCCTGGCGTGTCCTGGGTGACACACGCTCACGTAGCGCTCCAGGGTGAGGGCGAGGAGCATCATGACGCCCACTCCCAGGCAACCGTTGCCCAGGAACAGTTCCAAGTGGGCGAAGTAATAGGCTGGGACGGGGTTGTCCCAGTGGCCGTGTTCGCGGTGGACTAGGACCCTCCAGGCGAAGGGTAGGGCGAACAGGATTGCTAGGAGGGCTGCTGCTGAGTAACCTAGAACAAAAAAAGAAGGTTATTGCTTTAGTAGAAGATTTTATGAAGGCGGGTTCCTTCTGAAGCAGTCAGAGACTGATTCAGTGACAGGAATCAGTCTCTGAACTCTAATCTGATAGTTCTTTGTATCAGTCAGATTACTGTTTATCTTATCAAAATGGTTAAATTAGTGAATAGAAATTCCATCGTCTTTATTTAGGGTTCCGTACGCAAAGGGTAAAAACGGGAACCCTATTACTAAGACTTCTAGAACCCTATTACGGACGGACGCTGTCCGTCCGTCCGTCTGCTACAAAGTTCTATCTATGAACCGTTATAGCTAGACAGTTTAAATTTTTACAGATAATGTATCTATGTTGCCGCTATAAGAACAAATACTAAAAACAGAATTAAATAAATGTTTATAAATAAAAAAGTACTTTCACTAAACATTATCTTTAAGTAAGAATTTTACATAGAATCTTTCAAGTCCTCGGTGGCCGCGTGGTTAAAGCGTTAGGACTTTACGCTGCTATGACGTTGGAGCCGTAGTCAGGCAGGTTCGAATCCTAGTCAAGGCGCCTTTTTTTTAATCGTTTTTTTTTAATTTTTACATATTTTTACATATTTATTTTTACTTTTTATATATTTATTATTGATTAATACAATTTTTAGTAATGTGTTTCTTTATTTTTTTTTTAAATTACTGCATTCAAAATTTCAGTTAAATCGGAAAAAAGTTTAATAATAAAGTTTTCTCACATTTATGTCAGCATGAGAAAAAACAATATGGCGATATTATTATATGACTTGGTAATATTTGAGGGGTAGTTTCATCTCGTTGGAATTTGACTTTCGAAAAATCCGTTTGCCAAAAATAAGTTTTTTACGTCAAGCAGTTTAAGCAGAATCGTGGTTAAGAAATTACCCAACTTTTTGGAACACCCTGTATGATTTTTTAAAAAATTTCAAAATATGTAAAAAAAACAAATAAATAATGCTTGTCCAAGCGTTTTCCCGAAAGACTAACCGTTTTTTAAATAACAAATATTGTAATATTTGAGGCGCGTTTTCGCCCTCTTGGAATTTGAGATTCGAGAAACCATTCCTTATCGAACCTCTACACTCCACAGTCAATCCGTTTGCCAAAAATCAGCTTTAAACGTCAAGCAGTTTAAGGAGAATCGTGATTAGGTACTCAATGGTCATATTTTATGAAACACCCTGTATGAATTTATAAAAAATTTGGGCATGTCATGACGTTGATATCTCAAAATCGCCAAAAATCGAGATACGCCTTTTCGTCATAAAGCCGACGATATATTAGTATAGATTGTTACAGTTTTGTGGAAATATTATAACAATGCCCCTTATTTTTATAGCAACTTATAAAAGAATTATTCAATTCAGAGTTAGACGGACTTATGAGACGACATATTTAAAATAGAAATACAAATTTTAAGTGGGGCTACTCTTTCGATGCAACAACACCAGAATTAATAACATCGATTTTTGAGATTCAGATCAGCAGATCAGTCGGACGTTCGCTGGCATCGGTGCACGAGATCCCCAAACTAAAATTAACCGGTGATTTGGTGCGATTTTGCGATTTATTACCGGACTTTTTGCGGACAAGTCATTTGAAAGTCGATGCTAATTTCATAGGATAAACAATCAAAAATGAATAGCTGGAACTTGATTTTGTCTATCATGTAAGTATTAAAGATCATGTTTTTAATGTATATAATTAATATTATAACTTGTTTCTTGTTCCATGCCATATTATTGTTTAGAGAAAAAATCTTCAAAAAATGTTTAAAATAGTTCTGAAATCAAATAAAATCGAAGATTAATTAAATAAAACACATTTTTAACAGAAATATTGTTCCTTTAAGCGGTAGATCAATTTGGCCAGTAGATAAACTTATATTTTCAAAATATGCTTTAGATTTATTGGCTGTTTTCATAAAAATCATATTATTTAGGTCAAGATTTGTTATTTCGAAAATAAAAATGATAATTTTGAACATTTATAGATTTTTACTACTTTTTCTGCATATTTTTAAGAAGTTTTTGTAAAGATAGAAACTTTAATATTTATGGTGGTTATTAAATAAGTTTTGAAATTCAAAGTTTTAGAAAATAAGCTACCGCATGATTTTTTTACAGTTAAACAGTTACAAAAAAAACATTTTTGTAGTTTAATTTTATTATACAGGGTGCCAAGTATTAAATGAGTGGACATATTTATGGGGGTGGCATATTTCGATCATAGGATCATAACGGGCTAGGTAGCTAGGTACAAGTAGAAGTTATATTGACATCAAAATCAAATTTCTCATGTCAAAAAACTCCCAGATACCAATTTTTATGCAAATATTGGTGTTACTTCAGATATTCTTAACTTCTACACCCTGTATCTCCGAAACTAAGCAATTTAGGACATACATTTTTCTTATTTTTATCTGCAGAATATGCTGCCGAAGTTTCAGTTTGGACCACCCTGTATATCACTTTTTCAGGCATGTCCTTCAAATCCTTCAATTTAAAAACCTTCAAATACAGGGTGGCCCATCGAAAACGTTCCGCAAGGCATAACGGCCAGAGTATTTTTTTTTTCAAAAAATCCGATAACACGTCAATTTTGTTTGTGGGGGGGACAACTTTTGCCCCAAAAATGATTGCAAAATCTTCAACCCTCTAAGCGGGGGTGTCATTCCCCAACTTTTTTCAAATGGGAAGGGGGGGGGGTCAAGTGGCGCCGCAATGAAAAGAGCTGTCTATTCTCTATATTTCCCCGCTTCGTTTTTGAAAATCCGTCGAGTCATTTTGAAAATATGAAGGATTGAAATTTGAAAGGTACTTTTTGCAAACAAACGCATAAATTGAATTAATTAAAAAAAACTTAACTTATTAATGAAGCAAATGCTGAAAATGTTGCCCGTCAACCTCCATACAGTAATACAAATTATTTTCAAACCGTTCTCGAACATTCTGAAGAACTGCCGGGGTCACTTCGCGACAAACATCAATAATTCGTCTTCGCAGGTCTTCTAATGAGGCGGGTGGAGTGCTATATACTTTACTTTTTATGTCTCCCCATAGAAAAAAGTCTAAAGGAGTCAAGTCGGGTGACCGGGGAGGCCACCCAATTGCAACCCTTCGTCCTATCCACCGACCGGGAAAGTCATTGTTCAAAAATTACGCACATTTTTGACGCCCCCGCTTAAAGGGTTGAAGATTTTGCAATCATTTTTGGGGCAAAAGTTGTCCCCCTCACAAACAAAATTGACGTGTTTTTGACTTTTCAGAAAAAAAAATTACTCTGGCCGTTATGCCTTGCGGAACGTTTTCGATGGGCCACCCTGTATGTGAACATAGTGCACACATTTTTTTTGATATCTTCAAAGTAAAATAACTCGGTTATTTTGGACTTACTTGAAAAACGGCAAAGAAAAAATATGTTTTATTTATCGAGACCCATCAGCTCTGAAAATATGTGCTCTTATTTAAGATTCACCCTGTATTTAACATATATTATTTGTTAGAAAATTTAATATAAAAATTTTGAACCTAGGTAGGATTTCATTTTTATACAAATTATTACATTACATAAAGTTACAAAAAATTATCTGTTTTTTTTTTCGTTACAGTCTAGCATGCTCTATTTCGACAGAGGCTGGATTCATCTTTGGCCAACCCTGCAGCGACCGAAACACGGCCTATCTCTACCCAACCACCTGGACCATTCCGGAAAACGCAACCCAGTGCGTCGACGTCACTGGTTACAGGAACCAAACCAACCCGCAACATCACGAAGCTTTCTTAAAACTGGTCCCCGAAGCCACCAGTTTTTTTGCTGACCACATGAACCTCAGTGTTTTTCCTTTGGACATGATTAGGCTGTTACCAAGCGTCGAAACCATAGATTTATCAGGAAATCAACTCAGGAGAATACCGTTTAAAACTGATCTGTGGGTTCCAAAGTTAAGCAAATTGATGCTGGCTGATAATAGTCTTTTTATACCCAAAAAACGGCCTTTAATGAGATCGATGTCTGTGAAAATGCTGATGCTGAGCAGGAACGGGATATCCAGACTGTATCCAATGACTTTTTCAAAGTTACCTTCTTTACAAGTATTGTATTTGGATGGAAATAAACTTAAAATGATTCAGCCCGAAGTTTTTAAGCCGCTATATGCCTTGAAGTACTTGCATTTAGGTGATAATGCTTTGATGAAAGTTCCTCCCAAGACTAGACTGCCAGAGCAGTTGAAGTTTTACATAACTAAAAGTCAAAGGAAACTTCCTATAAAATAAAAAAAAATTGAAAAGAATTTTTTTGTTATATATTTTGTATGTGTTGTAAATATGTATATCTAGAATATGTTCTGTGTGTCAAATAAGTTTAAAGTCTAGTCATTTATAAATATTTGTAAACACCTATTTTGTTCTGTTAATATACAGGGCGAGTCTTAAAGACGTACACATATTTTCAGTGTTGTCAGATCTCGATAAAAGAAATATATTTGTTTCTGTACAGTTTTTTAAATAAATCCAAAATAGCCCAGTTATTTTTCTTCGAAAATGAGAAAAAATGTTTTTTTTGCTTAAATTTTGAGAACCACTGGATTCTTTCTGCGTTTTCGTTCGTCTACCTATGTTGCCATATTATAAAGATATTATATTTTTTCGAAAAATTTAAAATTTTTAGACCTGTGTTACTGGCATCGAAATATACCATCACACTATGGTTTCTAGTAGCTAATTTTTTGGCCATAATACATATTTTAGACCCACTGCCACTGTATATGGACTTTTTTTGTAAGTGGAATGCAAGCAGATATACAAATGAAGAATACCACATGCATATATTATTATTTTTGTTTAGTTTTCATTTTTATTCCTTATCAGCATTTATATTTAGACGTTCTAGTGAAGTATTTGTGCCTATTCAGTTGTTTACTTTTGGAAGAGTTTTAGTGAATATTAAGTGATATATTTCAGTGGGATATAAAAACATATTACTGTTATTTTTACACTTTATGGTGTGTATTTTTAAGAAATCACTAACAATTGCACATAAGAATCAGCGTCCATTATTTTTTAATTAATTAAAAATAATGAGTTTAAGACAGAACATAAATAAAAAGTTAAAAGTTTAGTTTGACTTATAAAAAATTCTCCATGTTTCTCCATGCTAGATGTTATTGTAAAATTTGAAACAATCCTTTGTGAACATGTCAAAGAAAAAATTGGCTGCTACTAGCTGCAACTTTTTTTTTTAAGTTTTTTTTTCTTTTATGTAGGTATCGATTGAAAAAAATAGATATTTTGGAAAAATGGCTACAAGGGGCCGATAAAGTTGAGAAAAACGGGTATGTTTCAAATTTTGTAAGACAGAAATTTCAGAATAATGAATAAGAACTATCAGGCACAATAGAAAAAAGATAAATCGCCTTTGTAAAAATTTTGAAAGAAGATGGCAGGCGGCTTCGCGGCTTAAAGGTTTATTTTTAAAACAAAATGAAGAGTGGTTAAAGGAGGATTTTATCCTTGAGTTAAATGAACCCCTTCCATCCACATCATCTGCCGGCCGCCCACGATTACCTTTTTCGGAGCAATCTTCCAGAACCCAGAGAAGAACGGCCTCAAAAGTTTCCGAGGAACATAGGCAGGATTGCGCTTTATTTGTGCAGGTTGAAAAATACTTTACTTGTGCAGGCTGCTTTGTAACTTTAGTTATCCTGCCGATGTACTTACTTGTGTACCTGATTTTATCGAAAAGAAGTTAAATGAAGAACAATTTGGAGAGAAGCATGGAAAAGAAGAAGAATACGAGGAGGAAGAGCAAGAAGAAGGAGAAATGCATAAACAAGAAGAGCAAGAAGATATTTCTAAAGAAGATTGTTTTTGAACAGCAGTAATTTGATGATTGATCAACTTTCTTTTTTGGAACTAGATACAGAAAATGCTTCATAGGTAAAAGTTAATCACACGAATTGAATTGAATGAGAAGATTAAAAATAATTTCATTTTATTAGTATTTTATTATTTTATTAAAAACACAAATTTACAGTCAATATTTTTCATTAAATGTAAGTTGTTTAATTTTGGCCAAAAAAGTAGCTTCTAGAAACCATACTGCATCCCTAAAAATATGTTTATTTTTTTAAGACTCACCCTGTATAATCTTCTCATATAATATCTACGACATTCTTATGAGAATTTATATTTTCTATTAATAGTTTATACAGGGTGAGTCATAAATAAGTGCAAATATTTTCAAGGGTGGTATATTTCGACCCCAGGAACACGTCTATGAGGCTTTTTTCGAAAAAAAAAAGATGTTGATCGTGCATTTTCTTTTAAATTTCCCTGTATATTTTTCGAAAACTTTTTAGAACTGCCTGTTCACCGCAAATTTTCCCACGGTATAATTTCTTAATCTTTGATATCGCTTTATTCTATCGTTACGGCACTAAAAGGGATGCAAATACAGAAAAAATCCGGTGGCTCTCAAAATTTTTTCAGAAAAAATCAATTTTTTTAAAATTTTCAAACTTAAATTAACTCGGTTATTTTGGACTTATCTGAAAAATGGTAAAGAGAAAAAATGTTTCTTTTATCGAGATCTACCAGCCCTGAAAATATTTGCACTTATTTAAGACGCACCCTGTATATCCTTATATTGATGAAATTCGTATTTATTTAATACAAGCAAGAAATCTTAGATGCAGGTGTAAATATTTTTTTTGTATTTTATTTTTAATTTTTATAAAAGTGTCTTTTAAACTTACCTTATTTAAAAATATTAATGTTAGATTTGGTATTGAATATGAATTTTAGCGAATTTTTCTTTAATATAGAAAGTTATTTATCCGTTGCGGATGTTATGTATGTTTTTTTCAAGCAAATTTCGTCTTTCATTCGCCAAAGTAAATATTATTTTTAGTTTCTCCAAAGGCATTTCCCAATTTATTTATTGGAAAGTCATGTTTTTTCGGTCTTCCTTTTCGACAAAGTTTACTTTAAATTATACAAACATCAATTTAAAGAAAAAAATATGAATGTGGAAACATTCCTTAGTAACTAATATACTGTACGATCATACAAGATATGAAAAATGGCAAAAAAAACAGGGAACGACGGAATAACAGCTGGAATACTAGTACGCCGGTAGGAGAACTTGGAAAATCCTAGCAAGTATACATGTCGTATTCAAAAAACATGTGCCATATCTCGTGGGAAGATTCCTCTTGTAAAAATATGATTTATTTTTCATATCAACATAGGTCCGATTCTGCTTTGTTTCGTAGCTACAGGGTGTTTAAATCTTAATAATCTTTCGATTTATTATAATTTTCTTCCCTGTACTTTTAGTGATTCTAATAAAATTTTGAGGATAAAAGTTACTATAAGTGCTACATATTATGTACTTTAATGCTAAAAAAGTGTGGATAAATTCATGAGGGACGTGCATATAGGTTAGCAATGAAATATTTAAAAAAAAAACGTGCGCCACTGACTTTTTTCTTTTGATATCAAAATTATGTAGGCCGTTTAATGCCAATTAAAAATTATCTCTTGATATTTTGTCGAACTTTTTGAATGCGCTATACAGAGATATAATAGCGTTATAGTGATTATTAAAATGCCATCAGTCATTAGTCTTTTTTTTTAAAGCTAGGTTGGGTGTTAGTTTCAGAGAAAATAAAGATAGAAGGAGGTCTAAATAATAGCTAGCTTTACTTATTTTTCATTAGTATTCAATTTTTTCATTAGTTTCAATAATTGAAACCACTAATTTTTTCCACCAATTTCGAGGTACTGAACGAGGCTTAAAGATAATTATTTTTTTCAGTACGCCACTGTTATTATTAGACTAGGGATTTCATTCGACGTTACAAACACTTATTAAATGCTTATTATTATTAGAAATTTCGGAGAATGCCGGGTTTGTAATGGCGCCCGGTCATCCGCTAAAAAAGCATTTCGAGGAAATAAACTTTTCACCAAATCGCTTATTGCATCGATCTAATTTTGAATTTTGTAATTTTGCTGGTGTTAAAAGAATCAAATTTTCATTCACGTACCATATTACACGTTTCGTTTAAGCGGTGCGAATGTGTACAGGGTGAGTCAACGTCTAAACCTACTCGTTATGTCGAAATTTACGAAAAAAAATTGAAAATTCTAAAATGCCGATAAGTGATTCCATTTTTAAACGCGATTTTTTAGTCCCTGAACTCTTTATTTTTACCGGTCGTACCACAGACAATAAAAGATAGACTAGTCATATACAGGGTGGTTCATTAGTCGTTTTTGAAGAAAATATAAAAGAAAAAGATTTATTCAATTGTTGCATGGATTAAAAAGATATATATGTATATACTAAAAATATTTTGTTGTATACAGGGTGTCCTAAAATGTTATGATAAAGTTTTAAGTTTTTTAAATCGCAAATTTACATTACCTCATACAAAATGCTATATCTCAATTATTTTAAATGCAACACCCTCTGTATATTATTTTTCATTTAGATGCAGAATTAAAAAATAAACTTTTTTTTTGTTTAAAGTTTTTCTAAATTTTAAACGGTTTTGCAATATTCGCGGTATTATACTGCAAAAAATTGCAAATTTGGAATTTTTTGAAAACATTTTTGGGAATGTTTTTAGTTAAAAAACATTATTTCTTGATAATATGGCAACATATAAATAGTAGATTAAGTTTACAATCAGAGTTGTTAAACTACACGTAGTAATTAATAAACTACATTTACTACATGTCACAAGTAGTTTTTTAAATGTCGAGTAGTAAATGTGTAGCTTATGTAACTGATGTAGTTTTTTTTAAATAACAGTGAAAACATAACCTAAAAACTTTGTTTGTTGATCAATTTAAAGAAATAAAAAATCTGTATTTTGTGAATTTGTTTCTTATTATGTGATATTTTTGATACTTATTAGTAGTTAAAAATGCTTGGAAGACGTCGATGTCTCCATACCTTGCTCCATACCTTCTGGGAAGAGGGGAATTATGAATTTGTGCCATTAGATGTAAAAAATCATATATTCTCTGGAGAATGTCTATGGAGAATTTCTCCATAAGAATTTATAGTTTATTTTGTGTTCAATGTTACTTTGTATTTCGTAGAAAATACACTTTTGTTGATGTTGTTTAACTTATACAAATATAATATAACTTCATATCGTATGATCGAAAAAAAAACGGCGTCCAGTTGGCTGGGAAATGATGATCGATAACATTTCCCATATAAATTTACATATAAAATGACAGCGATCTACATTTCATAGCCATCGTTGACGCCGTTTTTTCTCGATCATAACGGTACTTCCATGATAAGAATTTGGCTTGATTTTAGTTTAAAGTCTAAATTGTTTATGTTTTACTATATTTTTGTAGGTAGTTTTTAACGTAGTTTTTGTATAGTTTTTGTGTAGTTTTTGAAGGTAGTTTTTAAAATTTTAAAACGTAGTTAATACAAAAAACTACGCGTTGTTTTTGGCGTAGTTTTTTGCTTCATAAACTACTTAACAACCCTGTTTACAATAAAGAAAACCCAGAAAAGATTCAGTGGTTCTCAAAATTTAAGCAAAACATTTTTTTTTCGAAATTTTCAAAATAGCATAACTTGGTTATTTTGGACTTATTTGAAAAACGGTAAAGAGAAAATATGTTTCTTTTATCCAGATCTACCACCCCTTAAAATATCTACTTATTTCTGAGACACCCTGTATTGCTAATGATAATTTTATTTGTTTTTCAGTCAAATTTTGACTGTTTTCCACATGTTTAATGTTTGTCATATAATATATTTCATAAATATACTATGTACCAATAATGCCTTGGCAACCACCCCGCCTATGGTCAATTTATAAGAAAAATAAACCGTCCGAAGCTGAGAGGTCCTGATTAAACTTTTAGCGCAAAATGAAACAGGGGAAGCCGGGGCAAGTAACGAGCGGTCGGGTCATAGTAGGAGAGTGCAGGGCGATCGGTAATTCCCCCACTGAAGTCTATTCGCTCGCTCGAAAGACTCGACGAAATGAGAAAAACAAACCGAACGTTTTACGGAATTAAGCCATCAAACCGAGTGGATGTGTGTTATTTCGGATTTGCCTCTGTTAGTTTGCTGGGTACTTGATTAAAGTCTGGTTACTTTAAACATATATATTTTGTGTGGTTGTAAAAACTGGCCATGAATTCATAAACGATCTTAAAGAGTTTATTTATACCATTTTTCATCGTTATTATTTAGGCTGTATACCGTTTCTTACCTTGATTACGTTTTTTTTGTTGCATTTTATGTTTTCCATAACATTTTTTTTTTCTATCTTGTTCCATTACATTTTTAATATTACGTGTTCGGTAATATTAAATATTTGAGAGTGGTTTGACACAGTGGCGTAGCGTGAGTTAGAGTTAACGAAAAGAAAATGAAAATTCTAAAATACCGATAAGTGATTCCATTTTATCTAACGTTATAAACATATTGAAAGGGAAAAAAGTACCTGAAAATATTGTGAAAACCATCAGAAAGCTAAATATCGATAATACAACTCAAGTAAAAGCAGGGAATAATCTAACACGAGACATACCAACACAAGGAGACAGCCTTAGTCCCTTCTTATTCAATCTTTTAATGGACATCATCATAGAAAATGAATGTCGGTTATCGAATGAGACACAAAGACCTGCATCAGACCAATAGTGACATATGGCATAGAAATCCGAGAGGAAAAACAAAACCAAAAGCATGTTAAGAGTCTCGCTGAAATGAAGAACCTAAGAACTAGCGATGAGAACTATCGAATGAATTAGACTATCGAATGGTTACTGAATGAATGATTTCAACTATCGAATGGTTTTATTCGAATAAAATCATTCATTCATTTGTACCATTTTGCACACTACAGCATATGTGACCTCGCCGTGCGACTAAATAGTTATCGTTGAGCCACGACTATCGAATGCTTTTGATAAATGAAATTTAGTATTCGTTTGATTTTTGTGTGCGTCAGTGCATTATTAGTTCTTCCAAATTTTTATAACTTAGCCTTATAAATACTGTACTATTTTTGCGTTTATTAAAATATTTAAAATACTAAAATTGTAGTTTTTTTTAATTGACGATTGTGTGCCGTGTGCAGGTGGTCAAAATTTTTCCGAAAATTTGTGTGATTTTCCGTAGCCCGATCTTTCAATTATTTAATTTTATATGGTCTATTTTTTAATTGGAAATTTTGAGAAGTAGCAATTTTTAAGAGAGATGAGATGAACTTACAATTAATTTTAAAAATACATATTTGTATTTTAGATGTTTTAATAATATGAATTAGTTGAACTTAATAATCATATTTAAGTAATGTGGTTAAGTAAATGGTTATCGAACTCAACATCAACTATGGGGTCAGAAAATTAAATTGAAAGTTTTACACGTGCCAATTTAAAAAAAAAGTTAACGATGTTTGTATTTTGTTTATGCTAATTCTCTTACATGTAGTTTTTTTGCGAAGAAATATTTCATTTATTTTTTAAAGTAAATGCCAGTAAAAGTAAATATTACTTTTAAATAGTAATATAAAGTACCTAATATAAATAATTTTGATTTCTAATTTTTTATTTATATTTTCCTTCCATTACACTGCATGCTTAGAAAATTAATAAATGTTTATATTTCATGATTTTAAAATTTGTTGTTAATATAACAAATTAGTTCTGTAATTATTATTATTTAATAAACCAACGTTGCCAAAAAATTTAGAGACTATATTATTTTTAAATAGGATCTAATATAAATAATTTTGACTTTTGATATCTAATTTGTTGTTTATATTTTGCTACTACTTAAAAAAA